TCAAAATAACACCTGCAGTTCATTTCTACATGCAACACTAATGCTGAAGTGGGGGAAGTCAGAACATTTGGTTCTTCTCTATAGCGAGAGTGGGTTGTTTAAAAGACCTGTTAGAAAGCGAGCCAAATATTAGATAAAAAGATAATGTTTTCACTTGCTTAGGTTGTGCTTAGGGGCAAATAAAGAGTGTCTCCTACGTATGTCTGACAATGCACTCACCTACAGCATTAGGAAAAGACTCCACACTTCATTTTCTTCAAATCACACACATGCATGCACATATATGCTTATCATAGCGTCACTGTCATAACAAAACCACATATGTCCAAAATGTCCAAAGAGTTCTTTTTTAGTGTAGTGGGTAATAATGCTTCTCTTTCACATAGTACATGCTTAAAAAGGATGATTCTTGAATAAGTCTTTAGTAAAGGTAGTGTTGTGGTGAGCTCTACATAGAAACTTTTCATGCTTAAATGGTTGTTTGCATGGTGAAATTGTTTTTCGAATGGTGAGATTTTTGAAAATGGTTCTATATAACATCAAAAGGGGTTCTGCTATTGTTATGATGTCAAGCTTCTAATAATAGAAGAACAATAGAATAGAACATATATATATATATATATATATATATATATATATATATGTATATGTGTGTGTGTGTGTGTGTGTGTGTGTGTGTGTGTGTGTGTGTAGTATATATATACACTGTATATATACATATCTGAAGAACCATTTCACCATGCAAAGAACCAAGCATGAAGTGTGTGGAGTGGGGTTCAACTCCCTGCTCTGGCAAGCACACCACTCCATACCAGTAAAAGTCTTTGGGTAAGACTTCTAATGCTACCACTACCTCTCTAACACTATCTGCCAAATGCTTAAATTAAACAAGATTTTAGAAATGTTGGGTCTGCCAGTCCATTTAATGTCCCCACAATGTAAAAGGAGGTGAGTAGAGAGCCTATCACTAAACGTTCCTGGTTTGAAGGGCCTGTGAAATGTTTCAAGGCCTTATAGCTGGTAGCCTGTAGGGCTACCACAGCAATGGAAACCATATGTTCTCAAGGGAGACCAGTAGTGAATGTTGCTTACATGCAATCATGTGTAATGACTCTTTTCCCATTGCAAGAACTCTCTAACTCTCTTTCATGTAAGATTGAGAAGAAACAGTGCATTTCAATCAGTGTGCTTTTTAGACGCCTGCTAATGAATTGCTAATAATACGTGTACACTAATCTGAATTGGATCCAGCCGAGGTTTTTGGACCTTTGACAAACAGTAGGGGCAACTCTGCTTTCTTATCATAGGAGGATCTGGCAACCCATTCTAACTCAGGCTCGTTGGAGATCAGGCTGAAAATGGAGCGTGTAATTACCACGGCCTGTATCCGTTTTTTGATAAAAGGTAGTGAAAGTGTTCTAAATTACAAGGCATGGTTTTGTTTTGGACACAGACAGAGTACGGGGTTCAAATGTGGACACTAATAAGTAATCAACAGGCATGATGATGATAAGAGAGCATTATCTTACTACTCTAATAAGTGCCTTATCCTCTCACAGAGAATTTAGTGACAAAATATACACACTGATACCACAAATGATACAAAATGAAGTGCTCATATTGAACTGCCCAGTTTTTTTGTCTTTCTAACATCTAATTTCATATGAACAAAAGTGATTTGATCTGTTTGGCAAGGAAAAGCTATATGCAATCAAGATCTACAACTTGAACTGGAAGCACTGGTTCAAATGATGGTATTTCATGAATTCTGAAATAAATTCAGAGCAATCAGTATACATTCCATTCTTTAATACATACAATGAAAACAGGTAGTTGCCCACCAATGAGGAGAATGTCTTTAATAAGTAGAGTCTGCCACCAAGTGGAACATCAGTGTTAGTACAATCTCATAAAAACTGAAATAAAATCTTCATTCCATGTTGGATCTAAAGAATAATTTCATTTGTCAGGCTTTTCAGGTGATGTGCTATATTACACTGTTAGGGTCTGTGCAATTTTTTCCAGGTGAAAAGTATGTATTTGTACCTTTTCATAACCGAATGTTTTAAAACAGAACAATAAAATAAAAAGCCTGGAGATGAGACGGGGTGTGTGGAGTCATTACAACTTAGACAATATAATTTCAGTGGATTATGGTACAATTATGTTCTCTGACTAAAGGTACTGAGATGTACCTGAGGGTACCACCACAGTGACAAAAGGGGTACTGTCCTAGTGACAGTTTCGTACCTTTATTTCGGAGAGTGTAACATGATGTTTTCAATTATAATAAACTTCACACATGGACTGTCAGTACCAATGAAACAATATAGAGAGGAAGGATTCTGGAGATGGAATGGTTTACTGCTGTCAGTATGGAACAAAGACTTAGGTAACAGTAAAGAGAATGCATTGGAGGTCAAAACCAACTCAACCTAAAACAAGAAAACTAAGAATTGTGACAGAAATTCTGTTGAGAGTTCATATGTTAACACTTAGGATCGGAAAATTAAGCATATTGTTGCTGTCAGAACAAAATCCTGTATCCCCAGAACGGAAAATAACCTTTTCAAAATAACTTTCAACCTAAATTAATGTAAAGAAATTTAATTCCAAGCAGGTCTAGACCATTTCTATTGGTCCATTCATTGTGTAAAGGGCAAAAACTTGGCAACTTGAAACAAAAAGGCATAAAAATCAATCAATTACAAGGGAAAATATTAACTATACTGTCACAGAAATTGATGGGGGAATTGATGGCCCATACAATACTGCTAACTCATGGGACTCCCATGATAGGAGAAATTATGTCCCTGTACTTAATTAGAACATTTTACACCTCTCCTTCATCTTTCATTGCAGATTAGTGGACGACATTAAATGGTATGACTCTAAATGTGACGTCAGTTCTTCCACGGTTTTATACCCATGCAGTCTGGCCTATGGCTGCTCTCTCGCTCTCTTGCTCTTTCTGTTTTTCCTCTCTGCTTTTGGAAACGGCTCCCTTGAGTCCAGTTTTACTGACACTCTGCCCAACTTCAGAGGACCCACGGAGTTCTTCCTCCATTGCTGGGTGTTAGTACTGGAAGCGTGGGATACTATAAACCTTCAGTATAGTGAAGAAGGATGGAGAGTTTAGGCCTTCTCAAACTTGTTATAAGTTATATAACAGATGGGTAAGTTGAAAACATTTTCAAAAAAACAGAAGAATAGAATCAGCCCAAAATATGCAAAAGATATAGTTTATGCGAATCTGATTCTGCCAGAACTAACAGAATGCACAGCAAGCAAGCAAAGTTTATTTATATAGCGCTTTTTACAATAAGTGTTGTCACAAAGCAGCTTTACAGAAAAATCAGCATTACAGAAAAAAAAAAATCCGGGTCCAAGCCCCCATGAGCAAGCCAGTGGCAACAGTGGCAAAGAAAAACTCCTTAAGAGCAGGAGGAAGAAACCTTGAGAGGAACCAAGACACAGAAGAGGAACCCATCCTCCTCTGGTTGACACCGGATAGCAAACATTGTTAGTATAAGGTATTACAAAACGGGGAAAACAGGTGAAGCAATGGTTAATTGGATTAGTTTTAGAATTTGATTAGTTTTATCACAGCAGTAATGCTACTCAAATTAATTAACCTGGTTACTCCATAACACCCATAAAGCAAATTATGGGTTAATCATTATCAAAAAGCTAACAAGTGCGTGCACATGAGCTCATTGTGGCTTGGCTTCTCTTTTGTCTGCATTTAATCTCAAGGCTCTGTTTCCTTCAGCATAGACTTTTTGATTAAGACCTTGGCTCTGAAGTTTAAAGGGGCATTGATGCCTAAAAGAAGTAGTTCATGTTATTTGTCATGTCATGTAATATTCTGTAGCACATCATTGCATTCCTCAGCCTGAACTGTTTGATACAATTTATGTTTTTGTGTCCTTTTTTGTATTTTCATCCATCAGTGTTCTTTCACTACAATACCCAGCGTGTATAATAAAATATAGACTTGATATTCAAGTAGTAACTACTTGTCTTCCTTCAATATTAGCTAGCTTGCAGAAAAAAAACTCAAAACAGACCGTCCTCATGTATTTGCCCCAAAGGTCTTGTAGTTTTATTTTTTTTTCTAAAGTTCACACAAAGGTTTCCTTGTCGGTAAACAGGAACATCGCATTCTAAAAACTGTTGTGGCACCACTGTAGAAAGCAAGCAGACATAGTTCTTCATTTTAGTGCTCCTTTAACAATGTTCATTGTTCAATTACTACATCCATATATGTGTATGTGTGTATTCACAGTGTTGACCGCCACTTGCAGAATGGGCGTGCAAGGCAAAATATGCCGCACGCTCCGCCTTCTTGAAGGGGCATTTGTGGCTGATATTGATGCTGTTGTTATTTTTGTTGGTTGACTTAAAGTGTGGACCTGTCAAGGATGTTTCCTGCCTTCCGCCCAATGAACGCTGGGAACCCCCCGCAACCCAGGAGGATAAGTGCTTGTTCGTGCCTGCTTGAGAAAACTCCAATAAACAACAAGCAAAACAGAAGGTGACCACACACCACCCTTCATTTTTTTCTAACAGAAATACACTTAGACCTCTAGACGTTCAAGTGACTTAATATCATTAACACATTAATACAACCTCTGGGGCTTATAGGTGAGGCCTTTTCGCCACAGCTGCAGGGTGAATGTCCCTAGTGACTCCAGAATGGTCCCGCGTGTCCATGCTTGGAAATGAACGCACGTGCAGTGTGTATTTTCACATATTTCACCTCGCACGGCATTTGGACCAATCAGAACACAGCAGAGCGAAAACACTCGAACCTCCTCGCGCGTTACTTTGTTGCTACAGTAACGGACGCTGCGCGCGGAGTGTGAGCCCCTCCCCCCGGCGAAGGGCAGCGGTTAGAGAAAAGAAGTCAACCAGCTTTAGTGACAGAAGTGTGAACTGTGTGAGTAAAGCGGTTGAGAGGGAAACTAACACTAAGAAAGATGTTTTCGTTGTTTTGTCATTTTTAAATAAATGACTGAAAACAGACTGAGGTATCCGTCAATTTTGCGGGGTTTGGAACTAACTTAGCAGCTGTTTGCTGAGAAGTTGTCTGGACAGGTGTCACCGTAGCGGAAACGTTACTGTTAATCCACGTGGAAGACGGGAGATAGCTGTCCTGTGGACTGGCAGAGTGATAGAAGGTAGGCTGACTGGTTTATCAAAGTCTTGTGGATTTACTTGCAGCCATGAGGCGGATTTTATTCTCAAGCTGCGTCCAACACCACCCCATACCCTACATATCATACGCACTATCGTAATGAAGGTGCTAATGGTGGTGTGCTAGTTTGACTACTTTGTCAGTATGCGGTTTTGGACGCACTCCGGTGTCCTTAACGAGTTATGGCTGAACAGGAAGTGCAACGTAAGTTGTGTCCCTGTAGCCAGAGTCTCCCACAGGGCTACGTGTCTGTGTGTGGGTGATGGAATCTGCCTCTGCGATGAGAAAAAAGAGGGAATTTAAGATAGATTTCTGACAAAAAAGTCTTTGCAAGCCACCCTGTGAGTTTCTCTCCCTCTCTCTTTCTCTTTTTATCCTCCTTTGACACCATTAATGAGTGCTCACCTCAGTATCACCTCTTTGGACATTTGTTTCAAGGCAGTTGGTTAGCATTTTGCTGATATCAAGGAAAAGACCATTGTAATGAAAAGACTTCTCATTATGTGACAGACAGAAGTCATTTTGAGGTTTAGGTCCTTATTGGAGATTTCTAGGAAGTGAATGTTTTCTTTGGCTGCTGTTGAACTGGACAGACTTGAAATAGCTCACCTTTAGTGACACAGTGCTGATATGACTGGGCAGGTTCTGTTTGTGTAGTGCCAGCCTCTGCTGGATTATGTCATAAAGTCTCAAGTAGTGTTTGAACAAACCAGCAAACCCAGGGCCTTTGTTGTTCTTTGGCCTAGTTAAAGTTTTGTGATGAATGAAAAGTCTGGGAAACTCTTGAAGTCTTAATCACCAGCAACAGACCAGTTTACTAGGGAAAAAAAAGAAAAACAAAATTAAAAGCAGGCAGATCATCCTGGGGGCAGTTTCTCAGACCTCAATTAAGCCTTAGCGTAGACCAGGGTAGAATTTCCAATGGTGGTTCACAGTTGGCACAGTAATTTAGTCCAAGACAAGGCTTAATCCATGTCCAGGCAACTAGCCCTTGGTATTTAGGAGTACTTCAAAAGAGCAGTCTGTGTCTGATTCTTTTTAGTTCCAGAAACTCTTTGACTGCCTGACTGGCTTTTATTTTCTCTTTTGTGCAAGCTACAAAATGCTCAAATCAATTTTGTATTACGTCACAAATTAGGCCTGCTGTCACTAGGCTTCAGTATGCTTACATGAATTTTTTGTTAAACTCACCAGTGAGGTCAAACACTCATTTAATAGTGTCAGAAATGGGAAATACGTCATGTTGAAGTTCACAGTGACAGAAAATTGTTCTAGGTGCTGTTTCATTTTTCATTATTGTTTTATGGCCAAAGTCAAGTGATGAACATGGTCACACCCTGAGAAGTACATAGACTACTTCATCCAATCAATGACCTTTTACTTCAAGTTATTTATTCTTCTTACTGTACATAATTTTTAGATGTGAAACTACTGGCTGATAAAACCAAGGTTGTAATAGACACCATTTATTGTGCATCACATGCAACAAACTCCAAAGCCTGACACAGTCAAAGAAATCTTGTTATGCATATAGCAATTACTATGTTCTCTTACCCTAACAGGTTGCTTCCATTTGGTGTATTGTGTACAGTACCTCGCTGCACTCCAGGCTGTATTACACTGAAAGCCAACTAGCGAGATAAAGGCTTTATGCAAAGCAGGAAAGATATTTGGGCTGTAAACACTGAAGCAAGCCCAGTGTGTAAGTAATTGGCTGTGAGACCAAAGAATTTCCCTATAGGTCACCAGGTTTTAGGCTTCACGGTAACGTCTTAAAAATGATGGCACCACTTTTGGTTCCTCTCAGAACCTTTCAAAGGAACCATTTTGTAAATGAGATGTGTGAAGAGATATTTTTAAAGTTTAAATAACCTCTAAATTCTAGATCCAAACAAGGGCTGTATGTCCAAGCCAGGAATCATTTTGGAACTTTTATTTTTTTTAAGAGTGTTTTCAATGTATTATGTATATGATACTGATGACTTTGCAGTGAATAGTTGTAGTTATTGGCCAAAGTAAATGAGATGGCATTTTGTCCATTGTGGTAATATTCAGGCAGGCAGCTTTCAGGCCTCTGCTTTTGGTAAAATTTTTATACTAAATGTAAGGTCAAATGTGTATGCATATGCATTCTGTTTCATTACTGCTGACCACTAGTGGCAGCGCAAAGCACAGTGGATGCCTACACACAAGTCAAGATTTTATATCTGAAAGTCAGGTAGTGAGTGTAATGCAGCCAGTAATATAAATACCCTCTTTAGATTTGCATTTTGCTTCAAGACACTGTCTGGTCTTGCAAGTCACTATTTCCAGAGATGTTGGAAAAAGCTTGCAGATGTAACAACTATAAACGATACTCTGAATGACTCGTTTTTCTCAACCACTTGCTACTGGACACTAGCTAGCATTTATCTTAATGAAAAAAAGTTGTTTTCTGTGAGACTGAAGACTGTGAAAGATGTGGCCATCTAGCATAGTTTATACATGAGATGGTCTGGTCCATGGGTGGAACACCTGAGGCTCAGATTCAGCACTGGCCTTGGCCTCATTTAGGCTAAGCTACCACTCTCTATCTAACCACTGAGCCTGAGCTTGTTTTTCTTACAGGATCCAGAGCCCCTGAGTTGCCAGCCCACAGGGATTATATAAGGGAGCTGGTTCTGCCATAGTCGATAGCCAATGCACCTGGTTCCATGTGAGTCTTTCTCACATGTGCAGCCAGTTGCATGGGCTATTGATTATGGAGGAACCAGGTCATCATGGCCTGAAGTGAACGCTTCTTGCATACCTGCATGGCTTCACTGAAGGTTTTTCCAGATTAGATGCTTTGTTCCAACCTACACTGTCTGAGTGTGGACACTTATATGAAGCCTTAGTGAAGACCTGTGATATTATGTTTGAAGGACACCAGGCACTCCCTATCCATTACTAGTTGAATTAAGCTTTTTGCTTCCATCTGCACATATGGAACTGTTTTCCAGAGAACTCCCTGATGTCCCACCTTCTGATATTTGGCTGTATTGCAAAGAGTGAGGCAGGTTTTGACTTTTCTGGTTGATGGCCATTGGGTAGTAATTATTCAGTGCTATGCTGGCTTTAGAGTCTCACCATCAGCCTTTTTTTCAAACATCCCCCACAATGTATGGTCCTGTGACACTAGGTTTCACCTCATTTTGTATCTTCATCAACTCAAATCTTTTCGACATTGATGGCCTCTGAGGCACATGCAGTGCTTTTCAGAATATCAGTTGAGAGTTCTTCCTGTTCACCACTTGTGATGGCTACTTTGTGCTTACTGAGAGAATGTAAATGCTCCCCTAGCTGGAGGATTGGGTCATGTGTACCCACACAGAGTCAAACCTTGATGAACACACTGGCTCTCCTGGGGCATTTGTCAAGATTGTAGTTACATGCTTTTAACCTGACATTGAGACATTTTCTGTCAGTACTGCACCATGGCTCAGACAACAAGACTGTGGTTTTCCATAACCATAGTTGTATGAATTTGGAATGATCACCACAGCTGTCAGTCACCCAGAGTGTGCGAGAAAGGGAAGCAGGGCATTTGTATAACTGTTTCCATCACACAGTGTGATTTTGTAGGTAGGATCTTGGCTTGTATGCATGATCACACATTCATTAACTACCACTGTACTTGATTACATTTTTAACTCCTCTTTTACATCTACACTGAAGCATAAAATGAAACATGATGTGTAAAAAGAACAATGTCTACTTGCTCTGGTAGATGCCTGAAACCACCACCTTCTAACTTTACTAGTAAACCCGTTTGCTGCTGTATAATTGTGGCACTTTTCTACAGGCACTGAGGTACAGCAATGTTTCCCCTATCATAAAATGGGCTGGACCAAATGCACAAGTCACCCAGTTTGGATGAGAGAATGTAACTTGTAGGCTAATGTTTGCTCTGTGGCATTTGGTTTTTATGTGGTATGTGCTTATTTTTTGGCGAAAGTCAAATTTATTGCAAGACAGTCCTCTTCGATACATCACAATATCTGTGTAACTAAAAACAATAATAGGCAAATATCAGGAATTATGTATTTATTAGTGCCTATTTCAGTGAATTTGACAACCAATGTGAAACAATGTACAGCACAGCGCAAAGCTTAGCTTCATGCCTCTTTAACACACATACCCTGACTGTCATCATTCCAATATAAATTAGCCATAAACCACCAGAAAGCAGAACAGTTCTGGGATTAAAATGTCTAAAGGTAGAACACAGCTGTGCATCACTAAAATCTTTTCCAACTGTGTAAACTTACATAAAAAAAAAACAAAAATTAATACAAAAATGTATATTAATGTAAAAATATACATATCTCTCTCAAAATACCGGTAGCCCTCCGAGATGTAAAAGAAAGTTTTGCTTTAAAAACTGTATTAATTGTAGGCTGACTTCAAGCTGTGGCAACATTAACTGTTTTCTCAACAACCAGATCAGGATGATGACAAAGAAGGTGGCTATGCATGTTCATTTTGTTGCCTGTGTACTTTATTTTAACGAGACAGTTCTTGCAAATCACATAGTCTTTGTCTATTTTATTTGTCTCCTCAATGCTGTGAAAGCCAAAGTGGGGCCAGACCTTCAACTTGAAAGAGGACGGTGCCTGTCTGATTTGTTTCCCTCCGTTGCATGCCATTTCTCCTCTGTGAGTTTCTTTTTCCTCACCGCAGGTTTACCCTATTCATTTGATTAGCACCTTAGCGTTACCATGGGGAATCATGAAGCAGTGAATATGGTGAGTCAAATTGGAGGGGGAGTCCATTTAGAGCATTTACAGTGCATGTATGTTTTAATAAATAAATTGATATTGATAACTTCACAAAAGAAAGCGATACGATATATCACCATATCGATATTTTAGCCCACTGCTATTTTCTATTATTTATTTAATTATCTACAGACCCCGTATCTGGAAAGGTTCAGTTTTTTAAAGTGCAATAAAAACAAGAATCTGTGAATAGTTATTTCTCTTAATTCTTTATTTAACTAATAAAAGTACAAAGAAAAGATTTAGAATTTTTTTACCAACCATCTTGATTGTATTTTGTAAATTCAAACAAATTTAGAATTTAATGCCTGCAACACACTTAAAAAGTTGGAACAGAGGCATATTTTACCATTGTGATACATCATCTTTCCTTTTAATTACACTTTTTAATCTACTATTTGTTGCAGGTGCAAGTGGAATTTTTTTTGGCCATTCTTGCTTGATACAAGACTTCAGCTGCTCAACAGTCCATAGTTGTTGTTGTCTGATACTCCTCTTTATAATGCAGCATACTTTTTGATTAGGAGACAGATCTTGACTGCATGCAGGCCAGTCAAGCACATACACTCTGTGTCTATGAAGCCATGTGCAGAGGCCTGGCATTGTCTTGCTGAAATAACCATGGACATCTAAAAGCCCAATATATATTTCTGCCTCAATGATGCCTTCACACATATGCAAATCACTCATGCCGTGGACAAGGACCCCCATACTGTGACAGATGTTGGGTTTGCACCTTTCGTTGCTAAAAGTCTGGATGGTCCCTTTCATCATTGGCACAGAGAACTGTCCGTTTTTCTCAAAAACAAGCTGAAACATGGACTCATCTGACCGCAGCACATATTTTCACTGTCTTTTGGATCAACTGAGATGAGCTGGGGCCCAGAGAACTTAGTGGTGTTTGTGCATAGAATTGATATGGTTTTCTTCTTGCGTAATAGAGTTTCAAGTTGCATTTCTTGAGGCAGCAGCAGACTGTGTTAAGTGACAATGGTGTGGCTATATTTAACACAGTAGCATGCCAGTTTCTCATACAGTGCCATCTAAAGGCTCAAAGGTCACACACATTCAACAGTGGTTTCTGGCCTTGCCCTACACGGACTGAGATTTTCTGGATTTCCTGAATCTTTTTACAATATTATGTACAGTAGATGGTGAAAGACCTAAATCTTTGCAATCTTACGTTGAGAAATGTTCTTTTTGAACTGTTTGACAGATCCCTCACAAAGTTTGGCACAAAGTGGTGAGCTACAACCCATCTTTGCTTGCCAAGACTGAGGCTTTGATGGAATCTCCATATATATCCTATCTTGACAACCTCACCTGTTACCAGTTCACCTGCTTGTTGTGTAGTGTTTCAAAATGGTGTTACTTGAATATTCTATAAACCTTGAACTTTTGAGTGCGATCAAAATTTGTTTATATTTACTAAATACAATCAAGTTGGTCAGCCAAAACATTAGAAGTCTTTTCTTTGTACTTTAGACAGTTAAAGAAAAAGAATTCAAAAGAATAAAGAAATCTCATATTCTGTTCTATTGTATGTAAAGATGCACTCAATTCAGATCCCAAGTCTGGTACAAATCTGATCATTGAAGTAGCAATGTGATATAGCGTTGTGTGGCAGAAACAAGCTGTCTTATGCCAGAGGAGCAGTGTCTAGCTAACCCTACTCTCAGTATGCTTCTAACAGAGCCTATCTAAATCTAAACAGTATTTAGTGTTAGTTTAAGTAACTATTACCTAGTGATAAGTGTCGATCTTGTCACTTAAATGCAATATCGGTATCGGTGATGGGGATACCGATACATATGATCGATACCACAAAGCAATTTCTGATGCGTGCATGTGCGCCAGTAGTAACGTAACAACAAGTCAATAGTGTGGGATGACAAGCAGCAGTAAAAATGCTCATGGCAGAATCTGTAATAGCAGTTTTTAGTATAAAGAACATGCTAACGGATAACATGCTTACCTGCCTCTTGTCTGGTGCTGTGTGGCCACTTACAGTCTGAGTTAAAGTTATTGAAGGAGTGGAAGGAACTGTTAGACTCTCGGCGTAGTGATAGTATTTAGCCTCGGTTTAGCCTTTAGTATAGCAGCCTGCTAGCCGGGCCTGTGTGTCCACTAGCCCTGCCTGCGGTGGCCCTCCGTCGGTCAGCTTTATCACGCAGCAGCGGGGTCTTGTGGCCCGTTGTTTCAACAAAGTCAGAAAAAACAATGAAAGTCGCTAAAACTGACAGCGTAAACGACAGTAATATTTACTGGACTGACGTTCAGAGATGCAGTGCAAGTAAACAAGATGCATGTATGAGACAAATGACTTGAGATATTTGGATGTGAAACAACATTCAGCTCTGTTTTTGAGCCAGAGAAGCTACTGTGTGCTGTGTAAATACCACAGGTTTATCTGTACACTGTTCAACTGTTTTGCACAATAAAGATATTTTACATTTACTTAATTTGTTAAACATGGTTATTATTAATCATATAATAGTACTACTAAATATATATAGTAAATAAACAAGTTTTCTTTAGCATCTAATAAATACAATCCAACAAGTAAATGCCTTCTAGACAAGCTGAGTGTGTTTTATTTGTGACACAGAACATAGATTTTACCAAAATACAATATTGTAAAAATGTAATTGTGTAAATATCACACAGTGCATCTCTACTATTAACACCATTCTAATACATTTCTATATAACTAATTTTTTGCTTCTTTATGAACTGTAAAACATTCGGTTGCACAACAGGTCCTAATCACACAACTGCACGTTTTGGAAATAAATGTGTTATTGTGTTATTCACTGTATCTTTTCTGCACTATGATACTACTCTGGGCACACATGTTTGATGACACCTTGTACCCACAACAACACTGAAAGCTTTAATGGGGGCACTGTATGGTGTGGTAACAAATACATTTATCACCTTGTTTTATATATTTATACATAAGCATATTTCATAGAGCGATATTGGCAAACTTGAGCCAGTGGAACGGCATCCATGACCCTAGGCAGACCAGCTCAGCAGGGGGACCACCACGGTCGAGTATTAGACCAAGGAACAGATAGTTGGGATTAGTAACTGTACTGAAAAAAGCCTTTAGATGAATGTATGACATACCTAGTTTAATGTTCTGATTCAGCCTCTTATGTTCCACAGCAAGATCCTGTATTTTCATAGGAGAGCAGTTTTTAAGAGCACTTTATTCCAGCTGAGAACAAACTCCAGACTTCAATCACTTCTTAGCCCACCTGATATGGAAAGTAATTTATGCCTTTGTTACCTCACGATTGGATTACTGTAATGTGCCGTATCTTGGGGTCAATAAAACGTCTCTTGCTCGTTTACGGCTAGTCCACAATGCCGCAGCCCGACTGGTACAAAGAAAAGAGATCACATTGTTCCAGTTTTACTTCATTGGCTCCCAGTTTATTACAGAATCCAGCATAAGGTAACTTTGTATGTTTTTAAAGCATTACATGCATTATGGACACGCTCTGTCTATATGCTCCTTTAAGATCTTTAAAGTCGAGTTCTCAATTGCTGCTGATTGTCCTGCGGTCTCGGCTTAGACTAGGAAAGGAAGGAAATCAGGCCTTTGCTGTTGCTGTGCCAAGGCTTTGGAACAGCCTACCAGTTGACATCAGGCAGGCTCAGTGACTGGTTTAAATGCAAGCTTCAAACACATGGTATGGTAGTGTTATTGTGTGGTATTTTTTATGTGTAGATGAGACTAGTGAAAGTGGAGAACTAGTGGTGGGATTAATGTTTGTTCATAAATTGTAAAGAACTTTGTTTTTTAACATGCTATATAGATAAAATGTACTTACTTATTTCATTACTTACTTACTAAAAGGTTTCCTTTTCTCCAAAGGTATTTTCCATTAATAAAAAATAAAGAAAGAGAGAGAGAGTGAGAGAGAGAGGAAAAGCTTACTAACAAACAAAGTAGGTGCAGTGCTGTATGGTGACATGACATAGCAGGCCATAAAATGAATCCCACACTCATTTTTTTCAGTTTTTGTTGTCTACTTTAGTAGTTTTTGTGCTTCTTTTCAGTCATCTGTTACTTCTCAGGCCAGTGCAAAACAGGTTATATAATCGTCCCTCTTCATTTTAGCGTTATCAGTGGTCGATGCAGCCAATTACACCAATTAGGCTTTGAGCTGGCTAGCAGTCTCTAATTGCTCTGAAGCCTTTTTGCCCCTCTTATTCCACATTTTTTCCCCAAAGTCCATTAAAGCCTAGCATGTTATCCCTCTCAGTAATAGTATGGTACCATGTATTGTAACTGCTTATTTGTGTGAAACTATTTACCAAGAGTTACACATCAATGAGACAGATTATCTACACCTGTACAGGAGAATGCTAAGGTCTTTTTACTCTCTCTCTCCCTCTCTCTCTCTTTCTTTCTTTCTCTCTCTCTCTCTTTCTCTCTCTCTCGCTCGCTCGCTCGCGCTGTGGCTCTCTACCTCCACACATCTCTGCAGCTTCATTGACTAATTAAAGAGGCGGTTGCTAAGAGATGGAGGGCAGCAGCCATCGCTGAAAGGCTGTGTGATGTGGTTGAAACTCAAAGCTGTGTGTTCTTTCAATTCTCCCGTCCAGAGCTGACCCATGTAAGGAAGCAGAGGCCTCACACACACACAGACGTGCACGTACACACAAGGACTCTCCTATGGCAGCATTCAGTGGCACCTGGGACTCTAAGGTGAGCCGGGCTGCCCAGCCCAGACGAGAGGAGATGCAAGCCAAGTTCAGCGCGAGTAGAAGCCCTCAGAACCAGAGTGTCAGCAACTGTAGCACTGTGCTGGAGAAGACTCAGGAATTCTTCCAGATCTGTGACACCGAAGACAAAGGCTTCATCACTCGGCGGGACATGCAGGTAAGACCCGACTGTTAGCTATGACTATCAGAGGATTATGAAAACAGGTAGAGTGATACACTTCTTCTACTTCTTCTTTTTCTTCTTCTTCTTTTTCGGATTCTGCTTCTTCTGCTTCTTCTTTCTCTTTGTTTTCTTATTATTATTATTACTTCTTTTTATATAGAGTCCTGTGCAAAAGTCTTAAACACTTAAACAAATTGTTTAAATCTAGTCATCTTGTGTAAGTGCATTTTTGCCAGTAAAAACACAATATAGCATTGGAATAAATACAAATAATCATAAACACAGTAAAAAGTAGCTGATCAAAAGCAGTTGATATCTCTGCTAGTTAGAAGTTCCTGACTTCTCAGTGCACTCCATCTATTGCATAGATTTGTTAAATTCCTCCAGCAGCGCACCTAATTTAACATTTAAGTACTTAATAAGAAATGTTTTTATAAAATATATTAGTATTATTATTATTGTTGTTATTTTTTAAAAATTGGTATTGGTACTGTATTAGTGCATTAAATTCAGTGTTTTAAAACAGCAATAGCACTTTCCTACTTCTCAGGATTGGAAGCTACAGTATGGTGCAAAATTCCAACACCACCCTGCATTTGTTTAATTTCCAGTCAAAGTGACCATTATGTGCAAGTTCTTCATTTTTCAGCATCAGGAAGAAAGCAGGAAACATTTAACAGCAAACTGCACAAAAATTATACAAAACAACTAATTATAATATCACATTTTCAGAATTTAGTGTGTCCATTCTTTGCTTTTATTACAGCTTGCTGTAATAAGACTTACTTTCAGGTTTTTAAAGAAATTTTTCATGTTCAGTCTTAGATGTTGGTTGCATTATCTGCTGCTTATGATCCAAGTAATCCAAAACACATTCAGTTCAGCTCTGGGCTCTGTCAGTCAGTTGTTCTGAGAACACCAGCAGCTTCTTTGTTTGATTGCAAACTTTTTTTTATCTATTTTCTTTTTTCAGTAACAGCTTCTTAACAGCTATACATCCTTTCAGATTTATAGTGTTGAGTGTCTTCTCACAGTGAAAGGATGAACAGAAACACTTGTGGATTATTTTCAAACCTGAAGTAAAAGATTTCTCAAAGATGAAAGCTTTAAGTGCTGTTTATGTGATGGTGACGGTTTTGGTGGTCTACCAGGTCTTGCATGGTTGTTAGGAGTCTCATTTTCTCTTTATCTTTAATTCTGGAACTCCAGTTTTGGAAACTTTTGTTTTTCACTTATTGTGTGTTGACTTCCCTTTCCTTACGCAAAATTATCTTATGTAATCTCAGAAATATCTTCTGAACAATGAATAACTTGTACATAATGGCTGTTTCGACTGGAAATGAAATTAATGAAGGGTGGTCTCTGACTTTCACACAGTACCGTGTATAAGTTTGAATGTTCAGCATTCTCTCTTCTGAGTTTCGACACTGGTTGAGTTCCTAATTTTTGGATTGTTCTCTAAATCACTAGTTACAACATTAGTCATAACAGTGTGTTGAGTTCAGAATCAAAACAAGGGTGATCTAATGACAAGTGCTACCTAAGCAACAAATTATCTAACAGTACAGAGAGTCTGAATGACGTAGAAGGTGTTGATGATCAGACTCGGTGGAAAGAGACAGTCAGTGGGCCCTGTTCATTGAAATGTTTTGTGGAGGTACACTCTTAAAAATGATGGTTCATTAAGGGTTCTTTAGTAAAGAAAATGGTTCTATATAGAATCATGAACACTCAAAGACCTCTTTGCATGATTAAAGAGTTGTTTGCATTGTGAAAGAGTTCTTCAGATTGATGGAGAATGTTCTGTAGATGGTTCTGTATGGAACCTTTTTGAAAAGGCTTAAATAGCACCAAACAGGGTTCTTTTATTGTTATAATTTCAAGTCTATACCCGTAAAAGAACCCTTTTTGGTGCTATATGGAACTCTTTTCATTACGGTTCTATATAGAACCATATAAAACACACTCTCCATCAATCTGAAGAACGCTTTCATGATGCAGAGAACTCCTTAATCATGCAAAGGGTTCTTTGAGTCTTCAGGGTCCTATACAGAACCATTTTCTTTACTAAAGAACCCTTGAAGAACCATCTTTTTTAAGTGTGTAGTCTAAACATTCAGAGTGAGAATTCAGGGGAGCCCATGAGACAGCCTGGAAGCCACGAGTGGAGCACAGTGCACAGGATGAAGCTTTGTGAGGCCGTTGCTTCTGTTGTATTATTGTGTAGATTGGGTGGCCTCTTAGATTTCCATCCATTGTAGCCATGCTCTTTGATGGTCCACTCATGGGCCCACGCGATGAAGAGGGTCTTTGAAAGGCATTACACCTTTGATCCAATGTTTATGGAGATGCATTGATAGCCATCAGCTCCACATCTTTATTCAAGTTGAGCTACTAATGATCTAGACCCATTTGGACAAAAAGGAGTCCCCTATTATTGCACGCATTTCCATCTCCTTTCTTTCTGTCTTTTAACATTATTTGTGTGAATGTTTGTGTGGAAACCGTGCCAAAACATTTACAACTTTGCTAGGTATGCGTCCACCATCAAGTGCCTCAACTGTTCGAAATTACAATTGGTTCAATGGTTCAATGGCTGTTGCCCATTCATTTAATTTCAATGATACTGTTTTCTTCCATGTTTCATCAATAGTATGTCCATGCGGTTGTATCAGTTCAATTCAGCCTCTTGGGAAAAAAAGGTTCCTAACTGAAAGCCTTCAGTTGTTGTAGAACCTTTACATTGTGTGGTTAGTTTAATCTTTAAGAGAGATATTCACACACAAACATTTCCTTTCCAAAAATGGTTATGTAAAGAACCATCTATTGAAAGCAGGGCTGTATAATGCAGTAATGTTGTTGCACGTGCCATAGGAAAAATGAGTCCTGTGTGAATACTGAAAAAATCACAGTCACATATTTGGGATAGACCTTTAAGTCCATTCAGATATTTCTTTTCTCACTACATTGTGTGTAGAATTTCAACCAACATTTCTCTAATGCTAAAGTCATCTCCTCAAGTCCTGGAGAACCAATTCAGATGTTCGTAAACAAAGGATCTTATGAAGTATAAAATGCCCAAGTGTTGTTTACTTTGGGACTGTTCTGGATCTTTAACATGCTGCTTCTGTTTTTCCACACTTAAAATGACGATTTGTTGCATTTTGTGTTGAGTCCAATCTAAATTAACCGTTACAGTCTTGTCTTGGTCACAGCATCATTTGCATTCCATGTTGTGTCAGTCTCAGGGTAGGGTGGATGTGGAAATTGTATATTGTAATTAGAAACCAAACTTTTTTACTATCATTATGAAACATCAACAGTAGCTTCAAACAGAAAAAACACTATCCTTTCACTACATGTTTAAATAAAATCTGTTCACTGCTGGTTGAGGATCTAATTAATCCTTTCCATGAGAGCTTGTTGATGTTCATTGGTGTCAAAATTCAAACATGCCCTGAGGGCAGACTGTAATGTTGTCATTATTACAATGTTTCATTTAAAAATACAAATAGATGTACGTTGTTTGGTTTATATTCAGTTGACTTTAGGTGGTGATTCTGAAAATGTTTTAGAGGAGAATGGACAGAGAATAACCTCACCATCACATGCTTCCAAAAGTTACAATGCAAGGTTGGACTAAGACTATAACATAGTCATTAATAATATTTCTAGGCTAAATATTATTTAATATTATATTTTACCAAATCTATTATAAAATATACAACCCCATTTCCAAAAACACTGTTGGGAAACTGTGCAGAATTCAAATAAACAGAGGATGCAATGATTTGCCTGTTGCCAATCAACCACCAGGTGTTTTTTTTTAGCATTACACAACTTTACCAGCCTTTTGTTGCCCCTGTCCCAACTTTTTTGGAACATGTTGTTGGCATCAAATTCAAAATTCAAAATCAGTTTCAACATTTGATATGTTGTCTTTGTACTATTTTCAGTAAAATATAGTGTTTACATGATTTGTACATTTATTGCATTTTGTTTTTATTTACATTTTGCACAGCGTCCTAAATTTTTTGGAAATGGGGCTGTATTATTTATTTGTATAATGAGCGATAATAAATGTATACCTACAAACTAATTTCATTTTTTCCTCCTTTCTTCCTTTTATTTTTATATTCTGAAAGAAAAACATAATCTGGTCTCAGTCTTTTCTTAGTCTTGCCACTCCTGGTCTCAGTCTTTGACTCAGACTCAACTGCTACAAAATCTTGGTCTTGACTCACCTCTAATGCCGGCCTTACACCAAACGTACTTTTCATTGTCGCAGAATAAAATCACGAGAGTCTTGTTAGAGTCGCGTCGCGCTCGCGTCATCTCGATCGCTTGGTATAAGGCGGTCAAGATGGCGGTCTTAAGTCAGTCTTTTTCTCGTCTTGACGCCGCAACAAAATCAACCGTGTTTAATATTATCGTAAGTTTTAAGTCTTGGCTCATGCAAATAGAGGGGCGCGCGCGAGCGCAGGCGCGCGACGAGAGAGAGAGAGAGAGAGAGAGGAAAGAGAGAGAGAGATGCAGGCGTGATTGCCTGAAATCTCTGTAAAAAAACAGCAGCTCAATACAATAATCATAATAACTTAAAATGTAAACTGAGTGTTTTAATATTTCAGGCTCACTGAGCCTGTAACACATAAGGAAATGTGCAGAGGACTTTAAGAATGCCATTATTGAAGAATCATCAATTTTTTTCTTTTTTTTCTGTTTTCTGTTACAGTGGTTTCTTATTTTGTTTGTTTGTTTCTTATGGTTTAGTTCATGACACCCAATCGACAATGCTGAATCGCTGCTTGTTATGTTGATGTGTAAATCTTTATATCAAATTAAAAAAGTAACTGCACATTTTTCAGGTTAAGTAATACAATTCTGGGTGATGATCTGTCAGAGTATACAGTTCTATAGTGAACTAATCTGAGTCCCAGATCTTTACATGCCCAGCCAACGTATCTTCCCATCTGTACCACTATAGAATGGAAGGAAAAGTGTTTATCTGCTTGTAAATTTCTACCAGGTGCATGATGGGGAATAATCTCAAAAATGTAGTTGCAGTCTTGTAAACAGTGACACTGCAAGATTCCTAGTCTTTGCGAAATCATAGTCTCTGACTAAAAAACACGACACTGTCTTTAGATGTGAGAGAGTGTCAGACTTTAGTCTTTCAAAAGTCTTTTCAAAGTCTTCTGGTGTATGGTTAGCATAATGGTATTGACTACAAAACTAATTACACTTATTGAGTTTAATATACTTTTTAGAAGTTTACTCACTGCCATAGAAAGTTTCTCTAGAGTTGGCGATTGTATGTCAAGATTCTAACAACTCCATTTTTAGCATTGTGTTTTTAGGGATGTGTGCTAAAAGGGGACATAATAACACTGGTTGAGCTCATCACAGGTTATGAAACGTGATACATCTTAACTAGCATTTTTAGCATATTTATAGCCCCTGAAAGTGAAAATGTAACTTAACACTGTAGGTCATCGTAATTAGGGAAGCAAAGCCAGTTTGAGGTCAGAGATGACATTTTGTGCTTACTTCTTCACACCAGCCTGATCACACTGGGCAAAAGTGTTAATAGCCAGCATTTTAAAGCTACACAGTATAATAACCTGCTGACATAAGAGGCATGCCTAAGCCTGATAAAGGCTGTTTATTCAGAAGCTTTGGCCTTATAGTTCCCTTCTGTGACATCTGTAAGATTATTCATGAAACATTTTAAGTTTTATGGGGCAGTTGTTCAATAGGCTGTCTGTGTAAACATTTGCTCAATCCTCACACAGGGTGTGGTGTTTGCTTTTAGGAATAGGGCAGCATTGTGTATCTACAGGGTTGATCGCTGAGACGTAAGCACTGCGTAATCATAGTGGTCATGCAGTCTCTAATATGAGAAATGTCTGAATGAATGCAGAATGAATGCAGTCAAATGTAGTCAATGAATTAAATGTTATGAATGTAACAAATGGTTTTAAATGTTTTAAATGTCATTCCCTTGATATGGAGTTCATCACACATGTGATGTATGCATGTATGTATGTATGTATGTATTTATTTATTTATTTATTATAAATAAATAAATATTCCATCACACAGACAGCAGACTTTTTTTCTGACAAGGCAATGTTCCATATGTGAGTACTTTGTAGTGCAGTAAGCTAATAATGATATAATATTTATAACATAGTGAAATAAGCTCATAGTTTAGCAGCTACTGCAGCCACCTGAAGCAATTACACACTTCTACTTTCATAGCAGCCCTCTTTAGCTCATGACAGTGGGATGTCACTGGTTTGGAGATTACATGGATCAGTCATTCGTAAAGATCCATCAGAATAGGACAATGTTATTTTTTTTGAAAAATAATGTATTCCTAATTTGAATGAACTTGAATACTAGAGAAACAAACACTAGGAAAGTTGATTTTCAATCCCCTCTCACAGCCCTAGAGTGCAGTGTACCTACAACCAGTGTACAAAACACTTCCTGGTATTCGGGGCTACCATGTTGGCTGGCAACTCCAGCGTTGACTGGCTGCGAACTCACTCACCACAGTGACGCTAATGCTAGCTTCAGTGCCAACAAAATGTTTGGTTTAACAATTTTTCATTTAGAAATGCTCTTTTCTAGTTTGGTAATACAGTCTTCCTCACATTAATTGAGATCTTATACATCTTGTCTTTTGTGTTCGGTTTGAGAAATGAGTAACAATTCACTCTTTCCACCAGTCTCTTGAGAAATTGGGCAAGTTTTCATATTTAAAAACGTGCTGCTGCATATTGTAAAGTTTTTCAAACTTGTCCTAGGCATAGCTACAGTTGCTAGACTATGAAGGACCAACTGGCTGAACCAGTTTGTTACAGCACCACCCAGAGGCAGACAAGTGCTGCATCACTGGTTATTGGGCTGTTGGCTATGACATCATAAGAATTTTGATTTTTAGACATTAAGGGGGGTCCAACAGGTTAATTAGGAGACCCCCCAGGACCTCTGTATTTTGCATCTTGCCAACAACCTCTTTCCTTATTTAAAGCATATCTTATAGTTGTAAAATCAGAGTCTTCCTTTTTTTTTTTATTTCTAATTCCTAAATCTATTATTGCATATTACTTGTGTGTTGATGGCTCCTGTATTATGTTTCAGAGGCTACTGGGAGAGTTGCCCCTGAGTGCTGAGGATCTGGAGAATGTGTTTGACACTCTGGATGCTGATGGCAACGGATACCTCACCCTGGAGGAGTTCTCTTCTGGCTTCAGTGGGTCTTTATTATATTAATCAGACAGAATAGTAATTATTTTCCACAGTTTAGTAAGATCATCTCTAAGTCACGGTGATTTGCTTCTTTAGACTTACTATCTGATTATGTGTAAGACATGTTTTATTTTCCTACATAAATATTGGGTTTGGGCTGCACAATATGAGCAAAATACTGCAAAAAATACATATTGCAATTCCAAGACATTACTCGATTTTGTGAAGCTCCTAAAGCAGTTTTTTTTTGCTGTTGTTGCTTCCAGAGGCAATTTGGAACTCGTTAGTAAGTGACTGAACAGAGGATAGGCACTGTGCACTTCAGCACTTGTCAGACACGCTCTGTGAATTTGCATGGTCTTCCGCTTCGTGGCTAAGCTGTTGTTGCTCCTGGGTGTTTTTATTTCACAAGAATAGCACTTACAGTTGACAAGGGCAGATCTAGCAGGACAGAAATTTCACAGACTGACTTGTGGCAAGGGTGGCATCATATGACAGTACCACATGTGAAGTCTCTGAGCTCATCAGTATGACCTATTCCACTGCCAGTGTTTGTCTATCAAGATTGCAAGGCTTTGTGCCTAATTTTATCTGTTAGCAATGGGTGTGGCTGAAACACCTGAAATCAGTAATTAGGAGTGGTGTCCCAATACTTTTCTCCATATAGTATATTGTGCAGTGCTTACCCTGAGTCCTCAAGTTTTGATCTTAATTTTCTGCACTCAACAGCTCATCTCAAAAGTCTGAAATATGTAACACCGTCCAAAATCTTTTTTGAGGGTGTAGAAAAAAAGATCTGTACAGAAGATTAAATGCCCTGTATACTTGCTGTCTAGGCGAGTTCATGTTCGGCCCTGCAGCATCAGCAGCAGCTCCAGAGGCAGGTCAAGAGTCTGTCGCAGTGCAGAGTCCTCCCGAGTCGCTCTACCAGAGTCAGTGGGAGGCGAGACTCAGTGGGGGGGAGGACGACGAGGAGAAGCATTTCTCCATGCTGATGGAGAACCTGGGTGCCAGCAACATCTTTGAGGAGTGAGTGTAACTTCACTTCAAACACTCCATTCATTTGCTTTTGCTGTTTAGAAAGTCATGTTCATTTCATTTTTCACATGTCCTGTTGTTGGACTGCAGTACAGAAAAAATGGCCACTGATCTTGAGCAAATGCCAGCCTGCTGGTCCCTGAACATGCTCAAAGGTTAAGATGAATACAGGCTGAAACATCCCGTACTACAATCAATCAGAGTATGAGACAGCTGCTTCATGCTGTCCCAAAGGAAGGCCTGTCAGATGAAGGAGACATTTAAATATCAGAGTGTAGGACAGGAGAGAGCTTATTGCTTATTGCATGACTAGTTTCTCCTTTAGCACACTGCAGTTATTCTTGAAGCAGGAAAGAAGTCCTAGTGGAAGTCATCAGTTTGATAAGTGCATTCTATTGGCTAACGGCGAGCTCCCAGACAGGAACTGACAATTTAGATTATATGGTTCTATGAGCTTTCTGGGTCTTGCTCATTTCCAGCTGAACATGGCAGGAACTGGCTTACCCAGCTGGTCCGAGTCTAAATGAGTGAGTTGAGTGAAACGTTATTGCTTATTAAAAAAGTAATAAAAATGAACTATAGCAATGCAGCAGCTTACACTACTTTTAATATATCTGTAAAACACTATTCTGATATCTTAATATTGTTCATGTTTAAGAACTCCAATATCCAATACTGGCATTAGATCAGTCACTGACCATGCTGGTCTCTTAATACTGGTATTGGCCACCAGTAAAAACCTGATCTGCCTGTTGTGTAGCCTTAAAAAAGTTTAGTTATTGTTGACTTCTCTGTGCTTTTAGCCCAGGAGAGGTGCGCAGTTTGTGGGCTCAGCTTCGCAAGGATGAGCCTCGCCTCCTGTCCAACTTTGAGGAGTTTCTGGCCAGGGTCACATACCAGATCAAAGAAGCAAACCAAGAGAAGATGGAGATGGAGACAGCTCTGAAAAGGTCAGTTCATTCACAGTTTCATCTCTCATAAATGTTGTTTTATAGTATTTCCTGATTGCTTGATTACTGGAATTAAATACATGAACACAGTTCTCAGAGGTTAATTTTATTTTAGCTTTATTTTGCACCTACATTCTTAAGGCTTTCTATTCTTCATACTGCAATTCAAGCAGCTGATTTAATGATCTTTGCAGAAGATTAAATTTACATCCTCTACATCCTCTAAATCTATAGCATCCATACCAATATCTCAATCATTGAAAAAGTCAGAAAAAAACAGAAATCATTTAGTTGTCAAGTTGTGGCAATGAGTGCAAATCAGTATGAATGTGACTAATGTCACTGAAGAGAAAGATTCTTCTGAATTCTCATTTTCTAAGCATCTAACAATTTGCTGTACACCTACTAACTTCATGCATTATGTATAACACAAGTCCCTGTTGTTCCCTGTTTGTTATCCTCCACATGGTTTGCTTTTCTAAGAACTCAATTGGAAATGCTTGAACTATGCGTAATTACTTTAGAGCACAATAGCTGAAAAGAAGATAATAGCCTCTACAAAGTATCCAATTACCTAACACTCTTTAGCATCATTATTGCTGTCTTTGTTTTGAGCCTGTGAAACCATGGACAGCATGTTTTGAAGAGACTAGTGAGACCAGGCAGCATCTATCTAGTAAGATGAAATATGTCTGATTTTTTCCTTATAATTAGGAAAATCAAATATATTCTGTTCTGTCCCCTTAATTAGTGTAAGCACGGTGTATTGGGTAGCCCCCATTATTATTATTGCTTTCCACTCACTCCTTCAGTTTGAATAGTAATTATGCTTCTAAAAATGGGGACATGCATTTGGTTGTTATTTAATGGGTATTATTTAAGTCAATCAAAAGTGAGTTTGCTTGACTCTCTCAGAACTCTGTCTCTGTAGTAAGACAACAGTGCAAGAATGGGAACACTACTTACTGAACTTCACTACAGCTGTTAAACCTGCTGGGCTTTAGTGCTAAAAGTTTATTTTTTTTCATTGCACTGGTTTGAGGAAAAGGTTGTGTCCTTTAAAGGAAATTTGCTGTATTAAACTAATCCATTGAATTCCATTATCGTATGTGGTTCTGATAGCTAAACCTTTTGCATTTTGGGAGCTCTTGAGTGATGAAATCGGCCAGAGCACAATTGACTGTGCTTTCAATTGTGGGAAGAGGATGAATTAGTCCCTCTCTCTGTATCGATCATTTCCTTTCTTTAAAGGCTAATTTCCCAGATTAAGCCAAAGCCTGGACAAAATGAGTGTTTAATGGCAAAAAAGTCATTGACATTGCAGTCTAGTCCAATCCTTGTCCACGAGATCGGCCCTGAAAGTTTATTTGAATTACCTTAAATGTCTAGGATCCGCTGCCATTTCCACGCTTCCACTCCTCACTCCTATAACTTGAAAATAGCTTAGCTGGTTTGCACTGTTTCCATGAATAATGAGACTTTGGATGTAATAAACCTGGGGATTTAAGGGATTAATATATGTTAATGTAAAAGTATTTTTTTTATAAGCTTTTTCTGAAGAGTTATATAGATACAAGGTTTTGCAAACATATGTGAACTTTCACCCGCCTTAGGGGAAATCTAGATACAGACTGGGAACCAAAAAGGAAAAAAGTAAAATACTGGAGCAAGCTGTTATTGCCCAGCACTCCCCTATGTCAAATATGTCAGTTTAACCTCCCATTTAAAAAGTACAGTCTTGCGCATAAGTTTGGGCACATGATGTGTTTACTTCATGTATACATCCTTTACATTTTAATGCACAATTACTGTTTATTTGCTGAACCTGAGCAAAAGTTATGGCACCTTTTATATTTTGCAGTTTTTTCAAATATTAGGTATCAAAATGCCCCAAATTTTCTGCAAATACAAATGAGAGTTAAATCAAACTTATTTTTTCAAAAAGTTTTCCATTCATTTTTATGGAGCCCCAAAGGGTTTGAGTGAACATTTTGTAGTTTGAATGCACATTTTCTTTTATTCCTGATATGTCCTACAGGAAAGCAGCTTCTCATGATGATGAAATCCAGCGTCTCTATGAAGAAATGGAGCAACAGATCAAGAATGAGAAAGACAGGATCCTTTTACAAGTGAGCTGTAGTGCTCTATTTAGGTTTTGGGATTGACTGATTTATTTTAGAACATGTTCACACTGATTATTATAATAATTCTTGTCCTTTTTATTATTCTAGTAAAGCTGACAGTTCTACAGATAGTTTGACAGATGTATTATATTTGGCTTCATGAGTTGACAAGTATTGGAAAGATTACTTCAAACATGCTCTAAAATCAAGACTCAGGGGTCTGTTATATAAGGTGTAATTATGTCCTGCAGGATTCTGAGAGGTTCTTGACCCGCAGTCAGGAGCTGGAGCGCCAGCTCTCCAGCAAAGAGAGAGAACTTGAACTGCTTTCAAACAAACAGAAAAGAGTGAGTAGTCATTTTGATTCCCCAAATGCCTTCCTTCACGCTTTTTTGTGCTCGTGTTCATATAGGTATGTGAATACTTGCATATATAGTTCAGTAACATGTAGATGTAATGCTATGACGCATGTCCTTCATTAACTCACAAAAGGAGGCTGTGATTTGTTCTCAGAGGAGACTCAGTATTCATAAATGATATGGGAAATGATGAATTAATCCTATGAGTCATGGCTGCACTCGAGTTTCATACAGCAGTTATTGTTCGCAGAGTGCTTTGTCAAGAAATTGACATAGAGATTTATTCATTTGATGAAAGCATGTTTGTTCTTAGTTAACCCAGTTTAATGAAGTGTTGACAAAATGATGCCATACGTGAGGCAGAGACGGATACCTCGCTGTTCTTATTAGCAGTAAATAAAAAACAGCTGGATCTTTTCATTCTAATGAGGAAGAAAACATGCAGCAGCAAGTGCTCATCCTTTCTGTACCTTTGGTATTAAAATATTTATTTACCTCTCACACCTGTTTGACCTATTCAAGTCCCGCCCACAAATGTTTATTTTTCATAGGAACTGTTGCAAGGTTGGACAAGCTTTAAAGAAAGCTGGCAAAAGTCTTATTCAACCTAATTAAAAATTGTAGCACATAACTCGAAATACCTCAGTTTAGAGCATTAATACTGTCAAATGATTTTTTTGTATTTGTCAGGTGACACTGTTACATTAGACCAGGTGTTCTTGTTTGTTTTTTTTGTTTTGTTTTGTTTTTTAATGGACCTCGCAATAGCGTAGCAGGAAGTTCTTTCTGCAATATAATGAAGCTTGGTAGTATGAATATATGGATAGGCAATATGAATATGCTAATGGTACTGTGATCAATTACGTCACAATGAGTTCATTATGGATATCGTCAGTACTTGTGGAACAGTGAACAACTGATTGGCTATTGGTCCATCATGCCATTATTTTCTTCATTTTTATTTTCTTTTTATTTAAAAATTGTTTGATTGTTACCTTCTGTTGTAAATTGGGGGGCAGTCATGGGCTGGAGGTTAGGGAACCAGCCTTGTGACCAGAAGATTGCCAATTTGATCCCCTGAGCTGACAGTATGTGACTGAAGTGCCCTTGAGCAAGGCACCTAACCCCCAACTGCTCCCCAGGCGCTGCTGTGGGACTAATAAGGGTAACTTAACTTTAACTAAACACTGAAAAAAATACTGTACTTAGTTTTCCATATATATTTATAAATGCCACTAATGTTTAATGCTTTTTGTACAATCCAGTTTGTTCACAAAATTCCGAAAAACTGAATACGTGATGCATATCATGTATTATGAAAATGTCTTCAAGTATGGTATACATTTGCCAAATGCCCTACCCGTAGTTGGTGGTTTAGCAGTTTATACTGAAAACTCAATGTTATGTAGCAGCTCTAAACAAAGATTGTATACTTTAATAACTACATGCATGTTTATGCTGAGTTGTGTTCTATATTTCTCATTAGAGCTGAATGGGGTTTTGGCTGAAGGTTCTAAAATGCTTGTCAAATCTTGCTACAGCTGCTAAGAATGAATGTATTTATGGACAGAGCACTGACATGCCAGTTAACCCAAACCAGCAAATGAGTGTACTGTTGGTCTGAGCAGTTTTTGTTCCAGACAGCCTCAAACTCAATGTCATCCCAACCTTATCAAGTTGGCATTGCAGTGCTGTTCTTGAGATGTGGTGTATTGCTGTCCATTTTCTGGCTCTATATTTAGCAGCAAAGCTGTGCTTGGCACTAGTGCACCAGCTTTCTTATCAAACCAGTCCTGGCACATGATCCTCTAGTGCTGAACAGTTTTCACCTTATGACAGTAGCATACTCAAAAGGCCAAGTTTGGAGTGCTGAGGTTTTTCCAGTTAGTGTTTTGTTTACAAAGGCTTATCGGTTGGATAATCTGATGATGGACTCTGCCATGAGTGTTCCATTCTGATTGGACTAAAGCATGAGGCCAGTCAAATGACATGAGTTTTTGCTTGTTTTAACCAATTTTCTCACCAGTTTAGTCATTGCCAATTCCACCTGCTGGTTAGGTCTCCCAAAATCACACGATATTACCAAAGTGGAACAGTGAAGCTAGCAAAAGTATAGAATGTAATTTGGCCAGACTTTTGCATACAGCTGTAACAATTACAGTTAACAATAAAAATTGTATATGAAATGTATACAGTGTGAGTGTCAGGTAGAAAAACCTACTTTTTTCACAATATACTTGTGCAGTTTTACACTGTAGCCCATCTCTGTTTATATGCACATATGCAGCCATACACAATTCATCATTGGTTAATTTTTGAACTAGGAATGTACTGATAAATGTTTTTTTTTAATACATGAAAACATCTTTATTTTGTAACAAATTATATATTTATATAGTATTATATATCTACATCATCATAGATTGTCTGCTGAGTTCACCTTGATTGTCACTAACTGCATCAATCACATTTCCCATCTGTCCTTTGTGATTTAAAATGTAGTTCTTTAAAAAATGATATAAATTTAAAATAATAATAGAAATATGTTTTTGCCAAACTTAACTACCAAAAGCAATTGCAAAACACTTTTAAATGGTTGAAATCACAAGGATGAGTAGTGGGCGAATTACTGTGGGGCAGAGGGATGGACAATTCATTCTCCAAACATTGAGCAGGGCATGACCTCCTTTCCCCCCTGAAATTACATCTGTGGCTGGTGGTGCAGCATTCTCAAGTGACACTAACATGGTAGTGGTATAGTGCTGAGAGTGGCATCAACATGAGAGACATTTCAAACACATCAGTGTCCATCACAATCACCCAGAATTATCCAGCCAAGAGCAGTTCTTTAGTCAGGAACTGACCGTTGATGAAGGGTTAAAGGATGTCAGATACATCGTGCATGACAATAGATGGGCTACACCCTCCACCTGCACACTAGCATGGTAAATGTGGATTTTAACTGTATGTACTATGTAATGTCTGTGTATCTGTGTGCGTGTATGTGTGTGTCAGCTGGATCACCAGTGTCGTGAGCTGCACAGTGAGCAGAGAGAGACGGCTGTGGAGAATGTAAAACTGAAGCAGAATAATGAGGAGCTGGCGAGGGAGCTGGAGCACACCTCTCAGCAGCTGAGTTTAGCCCAGGAGCAGCTCAGTCTGCTGCAGGACCAGGCCTCGTGCCTGCAGGAGGAGAGAGAGCTGTGAGACTGCACTTCACTCATATTTTATACCCTTGCTCCTCATCCTGATCTCAGTTTACAGTGTTCATGTATCTGTGTGCTAGCATGTGCTTATAGTCTTAACTTTATGAAATCTTTTTCTCTCCAGTTCTGCTTTAAAGCAATCTTCCCCAGTGGTTCTGATTACATACTGTATCTGTTATGTTGTTTGTAGAGAGATGTACAGAGTTACAGAGAGCCTGCAGAGAGAGCGAGCAAGTCTACTTAAGCAACTGGATTTGCTAAGGCAAGAATACTTCTGCAAATACAGTAAACAGTGATCTTAATTTGTTTATCAGTAAAATGCAGAACGCCTGAACAGACAAAATCTCCTTATGTGTCTCTTTTAGAGAAATGAACAAACATTTGCGAGATGAGCGGGATATATGCTATCAAGTGAGTGTTATTGACATTGTTTTGACTTCAATGTTCTAAAAATTTGATATAGTTACATTATAACATTTTGTTCCCTAGACACCAAAGAACTCCGCTGTGACCCCCTCATGGGCACAGAGATCTGGATCAATTGCTATGAAATACACAGAACGGAAGCAATCATTTAGGAGGTAAGGCTTTTTCCCAGAACTCTTAATAAAATGTGCCTCTGTCCACTCAAGTGCACTCAAGATGAAGGTTACTGCCTTTCAGTCTTTTTTATGGCTGTGACTTTTTTTGGATAGAAATTATTCAGAAAGCTGCAACTTGATCTATTATGAGGAAAATTGCTAATCAGTAATTATATAACAATTAGCACTGACCACATGCTCTGATTGGTTATATCTGATAACAGCACTTTGTACACCTTTATTATTCTGATTACGACTGGTTGCTAAGTAACAACGGTCACTAAGTTCGTGGTGGAGCTACTTTTTGAGCATAGGAAATCAGCAAAATTCAAAACATAGCCCATATATAATAACAGAGCTTGAGACTTCCTTGCTTTTTGCTTTACTTTGCAAAACTGTTGTATAAAAGCAGCAGAACACTCAGTCAGGTTATCAGAAATAACATCACAGTTAAAATTATACCATTACAGTTAAGGCTCTACCCACGGCTCGTACCTGCAACCAAATCACAGCAGTCATGCTATTTGCAGTAATACAGTACTTCATGTTGTATTGTATAAGAATCATGTAATCATTGCTATCTCTGAACTGTGCTGTACTATGGTTTGAATTTTTTAAATGTTTTTTTGCTCTTTCATGTCATGAAAGTGATGATGAGGATGAGGTGTTGCCACATTCTAAGAGGAAGAGCACAGTGGGTGTAAGGGGCCACAGTCTGGTTCTAGAGCAAGAGGACCAAGCAGATGGCCAGCTTCCTCAAAGACGCCATCTCCCAAGGGTCATCTCCATCGAAGAGGACCATCTCCCCCACCTCCTGCAGGAGGAGTACCAGGTCCAGCTCAGGGACTGGAGTGAGGAGGAAGAGGAGCTGGAAGAGGGCATTGATCTCCAGATGAGCAGCATCTACCCTGCTGCAAGCACCCCAATCCCACAGTGCACTCCTCCAGACAGCAGGGACATACACACCCCCACCTCACCAAGGGGACAGCCAGTGGGGAAAGAGACCCCCCAGCCTGTGAGTGGCCAGTTTGTCTTTTGGCTATCATTAATTAGAATTGAAATTCTGTTACAAAGTCTGTATTTCCAAACAAAAAGTGCTGGGTTATATATATTTTTTATACCTGTAAACCATGATATTAACATATGGATAACATTGCTTTTTAATTTTAACAACCTTTTTTTGTGATATATCTGTCATATAATGATCATAAAAGTTCCGGTTGCCAAGTGGTTTGTTTTTAGTCTGGTTAAAGTTTATAAAACTGTGTTTTATAAAAAGATTTCCTCCACAGTACCAGTACTCAAAAATATGAGTTCACAACTATGTTAATGCAAATGTATTAATACTGTGATAAATTCAGAAAACATCATGAGGTTGAGTTTGATCAACGTTGCCCAGGTTGGGTTTTCCAAAAGCATCTTAGCACAAAGATGATTCTTAAATGGTAGAGTGAGAATCACGTTGAACACTCTCTCTACCAGTAAGGATGATCTTAACATGAAGATGCTTTTGGGAAACTCAGCACAAAAGTACAAAGTGTAAGTAATTAGTCTTAAATATCTGACCACACAGCGGTTAGACTACAGTTCTTTAGAAAATTATTCAATGCAGCATAAAATCTGAAACTTTTGCCTTGATTTGATTCAGTTTGATTATTTTGGGAATTTTGGTACAATTCACAATCAGTCATTCTTGTTTATTTATTTTTTTACTAATGTTTTAATAATAGATACTTTTTTTTACAGCTGAAAGACTATATTAATATTAAATGTATTGTTATAACTGATTGTAATAGGTTAAGTAAAAAAATCTTCCAGTCCAAAACAATATCACACCAGGTTTTTTAAATTTAACTTTTTAAAATAACTTGAGAGCTCTGTTTATGGTTAAAAATGAGTGCGTACTAGTGCATACCATCATTATTATTATTAATAGCAGTACTAGTTGTATAGAAGTTTATTAACTGTTTTTTTTCTTTTAACATAGTCCTACCAGATACCAAACTGCAATGTTTTCTTCCCTCATTTAAGTATACCTTTTTCATTTTACCATAGTATTTTTCTTACCCTATCTCTGTAAGTCATGAAAATGTAATCAAATGGTCAGTGTTTTCAACAAGACCATTCCAGCATGGCTTAGAACTTCCTGTCGCAGGATAAGCGAGTCTAATATGGCAGCTTTGGCCCAGCAGGTGTTCTGTTCCCCAGTGTAAGAAGTGTCACTGAGGTCCTCACCTTGCCTTTTTCTCATACATTCGGAAAGAACACTCAGTGCCGTCACACAGTCACAGCGTCTGGTGCTAGCATTTCCTTTCATGTTCCTATGTAAATTTGAAGACTTTGAGGAGTTACGAAAATTATTTTAGGAGTATAGTAACGTTTCAAAGCATCTAGTCACAAAATGAAGGGTTTCCTTTATCAAAGGCACAGACTTGGCAGCGCAGAGATGAGTCATGTTTTCTCAGTTGACAGTTTCATAAACAGATGAGCTGCACCACCAGCTTCACAATAGATGTTACAACAGTCTGAGCTAAATGTATTCCTGTGGGGACACTGCAGACAGTTTTGTCATGGGGGTCACTGTCAGTATTTCACACTTCCTTCACTTTTTGCTCTACTTTTATACAGAAGGAAGGGGTGAGCTTGGGACCAGACCGCCTCTTTAAAATTGTTCTGGTGGGCAACTCCAGTGTTGGGAAAACCTCTCTGCTGCGTCGTTTCTGTGACGACTGTTTTTACCCTGGAACCTCAGCTACTGTAGGTCAGTTTCCTTTCCAGAGCTCTTCCCTGTCTAAGTGACTTAAAGTGCCAAAAGGGCTCCTTGATGTGATGCCACAGAAGAAGTACTGTCGATTCTCTAAAAAACCTTTCAAGCACTGGATGTTTCCTTTTTTCTGAGATTTCTGAAACTGAAAGAATGTCATGTAAAGGTTCTGGGGCACTTGACATACATGTACAACATGTACAAGTATATCTGCACAGGCATTCCAGTAAGTTGCTGTTTTTGAGTCAGTTTTCTTGCACACTGGTGTTTCTGGTATTTTTCATGCTGACTGCATTAACACGGTGGGAAGCTGATGCAGCTTTTCAGTCTCACACAGAATTTGCCATACTTCTGCAAATGTTGTACAGTAGCTGTTCCTCAGGATAGGTGTTTCCCACAAACACTTGTAAACGTTGGATAAATGAATCAATACAGCATATTATCACCACATTTCGGTAACAAAATAGTATCTATCTTTACACATAAGCCAAAGTATTGATATTTTATTACATAATTATTATTTTTACTCTGCCCTGTGCCTATTGGCAGACTAATAGGATACCAAAATCCATTTTTTAGTCCACTGAGGGTGCTGAGAAGTCAGTGGGAGGAACCTTTTGGAGTAGTAATTTGCAGTCAAAAGTAATAAGTCACAGTACATCACAAAATATGTTAAGTACAGGCGTGTGCCAAAGTTTGGGCCCCTGGTCAAACTACGTTTATAATTTACATGTTGATTTTCTAAGTGAAAGCACGTACACATCCTCTTCAGAGAACACACTTCTGAACGTTATAATGCACGGCTACTGTTTATTTGCTGAATTTAACATATTGGAAAAAAATCTTGGCCTGTGAAAACTTATGGCGCATTTTATATTTTATATGTTTTATTTTTTTTTAAATATGTCAAACTCAAGAAAAAAATAGAAATTGTGCACTAAAAATTTGCCAGTGCCATAAAATGCCATATTTAAGTTTCCTGTAGAGCATGTGTCAAGCTCCAGTCTTTACGGGCCAAAACACTGCATACTTCAGCACTCTGCCTCATTAAACACACCAGATTCCGCTCATCAGCTAATTAGCAGGGCCTTTACAAACTGAATTCAGAGCGTTAGATGAGGGTAAACGCTATTCTCCGCAACACTTCGGCCCGGAAGGTCTCCAGTTTGACATGCCTGCTGTAGAGGATGTGTGAACTTATTATCACTTATAATCAGCAAAACATGACCAGGGATGTTCAAACTTTGCCTACAACTGTATGTATTGCAATACTTAGCAATAGTGTGCAATGGAGATCTACTGATGCCCAGAAAAAAAAAAAAAACAATGCCGTGAAGCCCCTTCCTGCTACATAGAGGAGGAAAAAAAGCTTTTTTTTTGTTTTTCTTTTTTGTTTCTGGCAGCAGTATGTCAAAATTATGACTGTATTTTGAATTTTGAATGTATCTCAAAATAATGACTTATTTTATTTAAATCTGAAATAATGAGTAATGAAATTTCAAGAAAGTAAGTAATTATTTCAGGATAATAAGCCATTATGTACAACCTAGTAATTCAAAATCTAAAGAAAATAAGTGAAAATGTATTTCGAGATACCAGAGGTCAAAATTTTACACTTTGTAGCTAGAAAAATCACAGATGATTTTTTTCTCCTCCACATGGGCACTTACTATGCTGCTAAAAAAGTGACAAAAATGGACTACAATGTTTTATTTGCTTAGTTTTGGATGTTAGTGTAGCCCAGAAATGCCCAATGACAGCTTGACAGTCAGGATGCTCATTCCCTTTTACAGTACATCAATAGTACAGTCTCACTCAGGCTTAGATCAATCTGGTCTGCCCTTTCCTCTTAGTGTGCACTCTTGCTGTGGAGGCATATGCTCAGCAGATTGATCTGTTTTGAAGGCGGAAGAAGTACAAACTTCAAAAGATGAAAATGAGAAAAGGAAACATGCTTGTTCTCCTCTGGGCAACAAAGTAATGCCAAAATTTTTGTCTCTCTTGTTCGTTTTTTTGCCATTTTGCATCTAGGTATCGACTACAGCGTAAAGACACTTACAGTGGACAACAGCCAGGTGGCGCTGCAGATGTGGGACACAGCAGGACAAGAGAGGTGAGGGTAATACATTCTCTCTCTGCAGCCAATAAATGTTCTTGATTTCATTGCTATTTGATTTTCAAAAATGATTAATTCCCTTCAACTCCACAAATAAGATGTAGGTAGTAGCTACAAATGGACATAAAAGTGATTGCTGAGCCTCTGTTTAATTTCCTGGCAGGTATCGCAGCATTACTAAGCAGTTTTTCCGCAAGGCAGATGGAGTAGTGGTTATGTACGACATCAGTAATGAGCAGACGTTTACAGCAGTGAGGTCATGGCTGGCCAGTGTTCAGGTAAGAGAGGGTGTGATGTACCTTTTTCATTGGCCTCATCCATCAACAATGATGCACCAAGTCAATATGTTTTAATGCATTGTATTAAACTATTCAATTAAAGGCAGGAGTCTGCATAAAGCATTGTGGGCAGCTTTTATGGCCAGTGCACCAGTACACATGCTTAACTTTGCAATTTTCACTCTTTCATTCACATTTACAATGTTGAGCAGTGCAGAGCCTCACTTATGGGGTGAGCTGATCATAAATTCAGATTTTTTTTACAGCCTAATTAGTCGATGGACAATTTTTATTAGTTTTCTTAATCCTTGAAGTTCACAATTAGTGAGCTAACTGAATGCAGTGACGAGCACAAACAGACTGGTTGTAAGAGGCTTGGCATACTCTTTACACACTTATTTCCAAATAGCTGACATTTTTGACAAAATATGGCTGCAGCAGAGTTTGTGTACCTAGCTGGCTCACATTATTTATATTAGAAAATTACATCAAAGATGATCTGGAGGGGTACAGCAGTGAAGTGATCTGGGTGAAATTAGGAACACTGAAGATAAGCTTCTGTATTGTTAGTCACTTGTAGTGACCTGATGGTTTGACCAAAAAGTCCAGTCAGGAGTGAGTTGCAGTAGTCCGGCCTTAAGGTGATGAGGGACTTGAACAAGAATCTAAGTGGCCTCCCAGGAGAGGAGAGGGCCAAATCCTCTGAATGATGTACAGGATAAACCTGCATGTCTGAGAATATCTTTATCTCCTAGGAAGGTGCGGGTGAGGACATTCCTGTCATGTTGCTGGGCAATAAGACAGACCTGGAGGGCCAGAGAGAGATTCAGTTCAGAGCGGGTGAGAAGTTAGCTAAGGTGAGTGAGCTAGAACTTTTCTAATAATAATGGATCAGTCTGAACCAGATCGTCTCTGCCAGCCCAGGAGCACTCCTTGAATGAAAGTAAAAACACATGAATCAGAGCTTTTACAGAGCTAAGGATGTGCAATGTTCTTCAGGAAGTGAATCATGAGTTATTTTGATTCTTCATGTAGGGTTTTAGCCACTCTTCTCCTTACTTTTCTTCTCTGTTCAGCTTGTAGTTTATGTGATGCTTTGAGTGCTTTAGAGCCCTTTTATCTCTGATAAAAGTACTGTTCAGTGTAGTTTTATGGACAGAGCGGGAAAAATGAATGGGATGACATGCTATTGCCTGTATGAATCATCTATGTTTGCTTGTACTTAAAAGGGCCAATTATTTTGTTGTCTTTCAGGACTCTCAGTTGATTTTCTTTGAGTGCAGTGCTTTCTCAGGCCACAATGTAACAGAATCTATGATCCACTTGGCAAGGTATGTTCTGATAAAGGCATGGACTAGCACCACCCTGAAGACTATACAAACCTCAATAAATAAGGACAGTATGTGAAATACTAATTAAGCAGTGACTTGTAAATCTACTTTGACCTGTATTTTTAAAAAGCAGTAAAAAGATATTTAACTTTATCAGCTTCATTAATTTTTCTGTAAACATACACTCATTATGAATTTGATGTCTGCAACACGTTCCAAAAGAGTTAGACAGCGGCAAACTAAGACTAGCAATGTTCAAAAACATCTTAAACAGGTGATTGGGTATAAAAGGAGCATCTAGGAAAAAACTATTTTTTTCTAAACAAGGATGGGGCAGGAATACATGTAATAATATCTGTTGTCAATAAACACTATTCGTGGCTGCATCCACAAATGCAGGTTAAGACTAAACTAAGCCATATGTCAACAGCGTCCAGAAATGCAGCTGACATCTCTGGACTTGAGCTCATCTAAAATGGACTGACACGTAGTGGAAACATGTATTGTAGTCTGACAAGTTAACCTTTCAGATTGTTTATGAAATAATGGACATTCTGTTCTCCGGGCTTAAGAAATGCCCATAGCATGGTCAACTTGAACTGACTGGCCTGTTTGGGTTTTGTACTGGTTTCAGTGTAATTCAGGTCAAACAGAATTCACTAATCACTGCTTTCTGTTTATATTAGCATTTCACATACTTTCCCAACTTTTTAGAACTGAGGATTGTATAACAGTAATGCATGTCATGTATTGTTCTAAAAGTAAACATAAAGTTCTCCAAGTTAACAAAGTTCTAATGTTTTATGAAACTATATCAAGTGGTTACTAATATGTACCCCAGAAAATAGAACTTCTGTCTCATTCAAGTAAGGATTTAAAATCAACCTGTAATCAAAATCATATCATTTGAAAGACAAAAATCTTGTTTTCCCACAATCTTCCATCAAAATGTAATGACAGTTGCCCCAACTCTGAAACACCTTCTAAGTTTTGATGATGTCACTGTGTACCAGTGGGTGGGGAAAAACATGTTCCACCACCCCTCCCACACCCCACCTATCACTGAGTGAAAAACACTGAGATAGCTCAGTGCAGAAGTAAAATACTTTTGATTTTCAATTAACATTGGCTTTAATAGCCTGAAAGGAAGAAAGCATGAAACAGTGTGTGATGCATCAAGTTCCCTTTCAAGCCAAAAATGTGTTTTGATCAGACATTGCTGTCTAATCAAAACCTAAAAACGCCAGTTTTTACTTTTTGCATAATTTCTAAACTCCAGCTGCTCTTTCCATTATGTTAACATTTCATGAGAAATAGACCAATAGAAATGGTTCAGTATTACTTGAAGTAAAAGTTTATTATATTAACTTGCAGTAAAAGTTAAAAATGTTTTTCCTTCTCCTAAAAAGTTGACATTTTGTTGATACAAGGTTTTGTCCTGACAGTGATAATTATGTGTTTATGTGATTTGTGGACTTTTTCTAGAATTCTAAAGGAGCAAGAAGACAGAGAGAAAGAGAAAACGGTCATTCTGGCAGACGGCCCCTCAAAAAAGAAGTCTTGCTGCTAGTAAAGAGCCCCCTTTGTTAAGCCACCACCTGCTAACCCTTCCCTTGTGCTGAGTGATAGCTGTTTCGCCACTCTTTCTGGTGTTCATGGTGATGTACATTTTACCCCGTTTTCTCTTTTTCTTACTCCACACTTTTAATAGTCTGACACTTTTAGACACATCTGTGTGTTTTTTCAAAGTTGTTTTTTAACTAATGCCACACACTAGCAGTGTTATGGTTATTGTGGGGAAAGCCCAGGTTTTGCACTATAAGGTTTTGGTGGAGTAACTGTCCGTATATTTCATATTGAGGGCATAATGAATAGAGACACATCATGCTGAGAGCAAGCATAAAGCTGCATAGTGATTTTGGCTGAATACCCAAGAAGAAAAATTTATGAAGAATAGTATGTTTTATACTTATTAGTTCACATTAGGAATAATAAGCTCACCTTAAAACTTGTGTTTACAGTGCAAATGTTTACATAACAGAAGTATAATATCTTCAAAAGTCAAAAGCCAAACTGGAGTTTATTTGGAGGTGAAATTAAATATGTTATGTTTTAATTATCTCCAAGAGTATAATTATACTGTACAGATAAGGGTGCTGCAAGACTGCTGAATTTGAAAAGAAGGTGTAGTGTAGGAGGTTGTGTTGTGCTAGAAGAACAACTGACTGGGAATTTGTGAACTGTATAAATTATAAATATCCATTTCAGGACCTGGAGTTTGTTCCTGTATTGTTATGTACTGTGTTATGTTTTTTTTTTTTTTGACATATGGCCTAAATCCACAAACTTTGCGCAAGCAATTTAGTGCAATCGGTGTTGACACCAGTCTCAAATCTCAATGGAAGCTTAAAGCTGTTCATGTTCTCACTGTGGCACAGCGATTTTTTCTATTTATCAATATGTCTTATCTAGTGAAATGTCTCACTTTGAAGTGTTTCTCTGTGGAACAAAAAGGGCTTATGGTTCTTTATTGCAACAAATGAGTCTGAGGCCATGAAACAAATGACAAATGGGAGCCCACAATATGGGGTCCTATTTAGCTTTTCCTTTTTTGGTTCACCTTGTTGAATGTCACATTCTTGAACATGTCTAGAACATGTGCCTGGTTATAATATTTCTGTCTTATGTCACTGTGAAGTGTATGACATTGAACATTCACACCACCAACACGCTGACAAGCCACAGAATCCACTCCTTCTATTTTTTCAGTGACAGTAATATGCGAAGTCTAATGTTCTAATATAGTTTCCAGTTCTGGTCCTGTAGTACTCCTGTACCACACGTGTGGGGCTTTTGGGGCTCACGCGCCCGTGCCCTGTTTAACTTCATATGGGGTTTGGTAATTACCTGACAGGCTGAGTATTGTTCAGTCGGAAGCAGGGAAAACTCTAAAACATGCAGTTCAGGGTACTCAAGGAGCATAAAGGGAAAATATTATTCTATTAAAACTTTATTATATGAATGTTTTAAAGGCTGTAATGAGTATATGTAAGTAATTGTAATAAAGGTATACTATGTTTACATGAACATGTTCATTTGATGTGGACCCGGGGGGTGGGCGGTGGGGGGGTTGGGGTGCTGAAAGGCATTGGTTTCTGTAGTTAGTCTCCTGTACATAAAATACTTTTAAATGTACCTAATTATAAATTGCAGATGAACTCCTTTCATGAAGAAACACTGGCTTAAAGCTAAAACAAAAAGTGCCTCAAAGCATGTATCACCTGAAATGTAATTTTCATACATTCTACAAAATGGGGTAAAAAAAATATTCAGCATTAATTCTGGGCACTGTACTAAGTTTGAGCTGCTGTGAGAACAACTGTGTATGTGTGCTGTACTTGTGCTGCCACCTAGTGGTCACAGACATATTTTAAAACAATGTTTAAAACCAAGTGGTTTTCTGTTCCAGCCCCATGGGGATCGTATGTTCTGCACATTTTTGTTTCCTCCACTCTAACCCCCCTTACACAAATAACCAGTTAATTACTAAGCTCATCATGAGCAGACTGAGATGTGGCAGAGAAAGAAAAGCAAAGTGTAGTGCATGAATCCTCCTGGACTGTGCCTGGGAACTTTAAAAAACTAAAAAAACTTTTTTGAATAAAATTTATTCACAACATATTTTTGATCACACCTGGGTTTTTATTTTACACATAATCTATCAATACAGTGTGATAAGCCTTCACATCCTAGAAAGTCCCAAAACCTCTTTACAACTACTGCATGCTCTCTTACATCTATATATCTCTTTAGATATGATTCGACAATTCAAGATGATCTGTTTATGGTATAACTGATAGTGAAAACACATCATATTGTTTTTTTTTTACCTTTAAAGGCTCAATCAGGATGTTTCCAGATATATTGCTTTTCAGACTGTTTCATTGCATTTTTTCATGGTAAGCATATTTTGTTATAAGCAATATACTATAAGTAAGTAAGCTGACATCAGTTTCAGTAACAGGTCATTTTAAACATCCTGATTGGAGCTTTGCCTGTGTTTTATCAGTGCACTGTGCTGGACTGTATGTTTTCCAAATATAAGATCTTATGAGACATTCTTTATTCATACAAGATACAGCATTGAGAACTACCTAAGCTTTTACATGCCTTATTCCTTTCTACACTGCACACTCTTAAAAGTAGTTAAGTAATATAAATCAAACCGTCAGCTTAACTATTATCACATAGATGCTTTAGTCAAAACCAAAATTGAAAATTTCAAAATATTTAAGTAACTAAAAGACTACAGGTTGTGTAATTGAACAAACGTACTGCAGATGCTGGTGAAAAAATGCAGCTAATAAATATATCTGTGTCCCTAGTGACAGTTCCCTAGCTTTCACACTTTGTTGACAATATCCTCTATCAGCACTTAATGTTCATGTAAGCCAAAAAACAGGAATAAATAGGAAAAGGAATAAATAGGAAAAGTGCTGAATGGGATGCATGGCTGTGTCTTGCTAATGAACAGAATGTCTTTGGATCATAGCACAAGAGGTCTTTTTACCTTGGTGATGACTTCAGTAAGAGCACAGGTGAGGATTGCCAGCTGCTATCTGACTCCACAAACACATCGTAAATGTGCCCTTTCTCTTTCTAAGCTCTGTTGGTAGGTAGATATCAGTTATAGCAAAAGTACAGACACACTGAAGAACAAGACTCACTCACTCTCACAACTTATTGCACACTGTCCAAAAAACAACAGTTAACAAATGTGCTATCACTATCTGAAGAGGTGGAATTAGAGCTATTGCCATGAATTCTCATTTCTTTTTAACAACTCTATAAAAAATGACAATAACTTAGGAGTTCAGCATTGGAGAATATGCCACTGAATTGCGTATCTATTTCTCTTAACATACTCTATTATAGTGCAGCAGACTAGTGCTTAGGACAAAATGAAGTATGTTAACACAAAAGTACTGGCTTGAATTTAGCTTAAACAGTTAAAGTAAGCTTGCTCCTTGGTCTCTGAAACGTCAAGCTCGCACCAAAACCAATCAGCCAAAATACTGCGCCAACTCCTTTCTAAAAGTAAAGAAACTGTAAACTCGCTCTTCACATTCATAAGGACAGTGACATTCTTGAGTTAATAAGGCAATACATTCAAAGATGCCTTCTGAACAGTCATTGAAATGGTGGACTAGTGCACACTATTATTGGCGATGGCAAGGCTGCTATTGCTTGGAGAGGCACTCCACTCCAAAATGTTGGCACAGCTCCCAGAGATAAGCAGAACCGTGGCCTGGATCCTCCAGCCCTCACCTTTAGTGTCAGTGGCTGCTGCTGCTGCTGCTGCTGGACGGAAAGTGCCCCCCTGCTCTGCCGTTATCATGGTGGGGCAACTGCCACACTGGGGCTTTCTCGCCCTCTGCTGGATACTTAACGCATCTTATAGTCATGAGCGATAGCAGCCTCACACAGCTGACCTTTAAAATCCAGCTCAAAAGTGAAGTCCAGATCACGCTAAGGAGAGATAGAGGGAGATAGAGAGATGGAGAGGAGGAAGAATGAGAATGATAAAGAGATTAGTATTGGAATATAAAATGCACTGAAGTGAATATATATGAATAGAAACGGTACTGTGGACTCTCACTGCATTCTTTTCGTTGGGACGCATGGCAACGGTGCCCACGATCTCCTCTCCTCTCTTCACTGTAAGATACTCCTCAAGATAAAACACCGTCTGCTTCCAGTGAGTGTAGGGGGCATCGGGTGCTACAAATGGAAGAACAAACATAGTTGCCGTGCACATCTTGGCCCTACCACGATTCGATTCAGTTATAATTCTTTAATAAACAATCCAATCAAATCCAAACAATAAAAACTTTTTCAAATTTAAAACCAATTTTACTTTGACCAAATAACAAGTGGATGCTTTAGTGAACATTATTATAACTGATTAAAATCAACTCTAACATTTCAAAATGCCTAATACACAATGCTGTTCTTTATGCTGTGTAACACTGAAAATAAAAAGGGCTATATATACATATGAGTACACCACAATATTTGCCCACAATGCACTTGAATTTAACACATAATTTACTGCAGCTTATCATGCAAACTGCGCCTAGCCCACCAACTGCTTGCTCCTGAGGCTCACATGTTCAGTGATGAAGAGACAGTGGTGTTAATAAATGAAACTTATTCCCAACAAAACCCTACAGGGGAGTAACTCTACACTGGCTAAGAAAATGGAGTTTGCGTAACTATAACACAGAGTGTGTGCGTATACTGCAGCTGCATCATGGCACATTTTGTGCCGCATTTTCTCACCATCTGGTCGCAAGATTTTCAGCAGTGTTATTCTGATGGTAAACATTCTTTCAGCATGTGTTCAAGGCTTGTGGTTCCATCTAACTGCTCTGTCTGCTGCCATTGTTTAGACCCTAACGTAAATTTACTGCTGGTTTTCAGAGGTGGAAAAAATTGACTCAAAACCAGCAGCTAGTTGCTCAAACTTTAGTAAATTGAGTGGAATAGGCTGTGTAATCCGCATTTGTGTATCTCCACCCACATTTTTGCACAGTCCTCCCATGTTTTGCTCAGATCTCTCTCAAAGGCATTATGCAAGAGGAGGAAAAGTGCATTTTGCGTTTTATCATGCACACAACCCATAAACTTCACCAGTTTCGTACATAACATGGGGGAAGGTTTAGTACCAGTGGTGATTCTAGGATTGTTTTTTTAGGTTGGCACTAAAAAAATGGGGCCACTATTCAGGAGCTAAATAAAGGTTAAGAAGCTCCATAATTATCTCATAATACCTCTAAATACATTTGTTATAAAGAGAAAATTTTATTAAGCATCACCCACACTACTGGTATAGCTCCATACATATATTATTCAGTGTGTTTTACATTCAGTAGCAGACAGTAAAATATCTGATCACAAGGCTATTAATTTTAAACCTACAATATTCAAATAAGCAATATTGCGGTAAAAAGGTAACAAGTTCAGAAATTAACTCTCTGTAAGGGGGTTTAGAGGCTTGGTCCCCCATGAGAAAATGTTTACATAAAAATGAAGCATTCTGAAGCACTCTGAGAATAAAATACAAGGAAAGAAGTTCTTTGCTATAGAATGACGCAGTTCAACCACTTTGCCAATAAAAAATGTCAAAAATTGTACTTCAGACATAGACTTTCCAGGTATATCCCAATGGTTGCCACTTTCAGTGGACAATTCACATAAATTAACATGTTCTACATTGATTTTACAAATTGTAGCTGCTTGTTTTGTTTGCAGTGATAATGTTAACCTATTTTTGTCCTGCCATTCGAAACCTACTGAAGACAGATATCATATATGTGTAAACATACCAACTTTACGCCTCTTAAAACTTTCAAATGTCACGTATCTGCAGCTAATATATGTGTGCTGTACATTAAAAACTGTGAATTTTGCAGATGACAAATTTCAATATCAATCAATGACGTGCTTGTAGGTGGTGAGTGACAGCAAAGGGGCACTTAAGGGGCCAATCATATTTTTACTAGGGCCAGTGCCCCTGTGGGCACACACCCATGTTTAGTACACCGGGCCCAAAGATCCATGAACCATGTGCCAACACAGACTCATGATTGTGGTGTACTGCGCAGCACTGCTGACTAGGTTTGGGCGACAGGGCGATATATAGGGTGATGACATAGTCCATGTCTGACAAGTAACCTGGTGATGATGCTTAAAGCAGCATTATGTGAGAATTGCTATTTTTTTGCTTTTGGTCTCCCCTACAGCTGCTGAGTGTATTTCACTTTTACACCATTATTGTAATTACAAATCGTGCCCCCTCGTGTAAACGTGCATTTGTTGATGAGCTAAAGAATACAGAATCCAGCTACCCTCACACAGGTATATGGACGCTACAGATTACACTAGCTATTTTTATGTTTCTCAGTGTAAACAACCAAAATCGTGAGTATAATCTTTAATATTCATATGCCTGCGTGACACGTCTGCACACAAAGGGCAGTTGGATTCTGCTGGCGAGACAGAATTAGGCACAACAACGGCAAAGAACATCAGAAGACAAAGAACCATGTCGACTTAAAAGGTAGAGTAATTTATTACAGGAGGTTGCAAACCTTCAAGGCTTATTTGGCATGCGACTGACAAAGCCTGACCAATTTATTTCTTTGGGGTTCATGTTCCTTTAAGAAGTGTGCGGGTGCATGCCCCAATAGGTCTTTTCTATTTACAAGAGAGAGAAATTAAAAAGCTGCCTGTCTTCATTTTCTGCTTATTTTTCCTGTTTTGCTTGAATGCATGTAACTGAAAATAATAGTCTATGGTCAGGAAACGTGACCAGAAAAAGGTAACAAATACTATTAAATAATATTGTAATGTGCTCAAGAAATGTTGTTGACGTTAATACTGGGTTAAGTTTTCTACTGCATTTATTCTATGAGGACTCTTATTGTGAAGGCGGGGCTAGCCCTCTGGCTGTGTTTATGTGCAGATCAGGAAGAACTGAGATCTATCTAGCAAAGATGAGTAAGAGAGGCAGAAATGACCTGAGGTAGAGAACAAGTGAGAGAAAAGTTTGCTTATGTACGGCGTAACTGTGGCCAACAACAGCTGGTTAATAAAGTACCACAACCAGTGTGAAAGCTGTATCTCTTTTAATAGCAGGGAACGCTACAATATGTACACATGCACTGTTAAAACACTGGATTATTATGGGGCTGGTGAGTAAAATCTCCAGTGTGAGAAAAATTTGTTGCATTTCCATACAGCTTAAGTGTCCCAGTGGTTTAGATGAGAGATGAAAATATAATACTATGTGGTTTACCAAAGGCATCTGTAGCCAGTGATTCCTCTATAACGACATTTTTTAATATGTAAAGCATGTGGGCATGGCTTTGGAAATCACTTGCAGTCTGAAGTTTCTCCAGAAGGAAGCACTATTAGTATGCAAGATGCCATAAACCTACATCAGAAGAAGCTCATGAACACACTTTTTTGCATTTAGTATTAAAATGAGAGTTGATTGCGTTTTCAAAATATGAGGTTACTCAGTAATATTTAATTTGTGATTTTCATCAAAATAGTTAATGTTAAAAAAGCACATAAACTAAAAATTGAATCGAAAGTAGGCCAAAGGCACAACAGGTCACAATTATTTAACTAGAAAATATAGTGCTAATTATTTTTAGATACTGCTCTTGTCTACTGCTGAGTATTTACAGCAATGGTGGACAGTGATTATTTATTTTTACTCAGTTATATGTACTGAAGTACAGTTTTGATAAAAATTAGCATCACTACTTCACTATCAGTTTATTCCTTGCACGTCTCTTCTTAAGGCAAGCAATTTAAAAAGCTCTGGTCCTGGAGGGCCATAGTTCAGTTTGGTAATTTTCCTGCTTGAATGCCTCATTCAACTATTTAATTCATTTCTAGGTTCAGTAGGTGCACTACAGCAGGGAACTGTGCTGGACTTTGGCCCTCCAGAACTAGAACTGAACACCCACATTCTATGCTAATAGGCTTGGAAATCAGAATTCAACCCAGTACTTGGCTAGGTTTGCTATCAGCTTTGTGTTTCTCAGTGTATCATATTTAGATTATTCACAAATACAAACCTTAATTATATTTAATAAGCATAGTTATTGTAACCTAGAAACAGTTGCTTTATATTTTGCACTCACTAGCCCACACGTGCACAGGCATAGATAGCTATGATGCTTGCCAGATTCACCCTCTCACTTGAACCTTTGTTCACACAAAATACCTCATTGCTCTCCAAACGTGAGGTCAGTATCTGTGCGTGTGTGTCTGTGTGTGTTTGTGAGTGAGCATTTATCTCTGCCAGGTGCACTCTGCTGATATCGAACAGCTCCACCTGTGAGAGGGAGCTGGTGCTGAGAGACCGATTGACCAAGCTGCAAAGGTCAAGAGAACTTCAATGTGTTCTCAGATCAGAGCAGCCAGCCTGGCCGTACCATTCTTAGCTTTAAAGCTATTCACAGACCTGAGCTTATCTCATATCAGAGTAAAAGGGTAAATGAAACTTGATATAATATATATATATATATATATATATATATATATATATATATATATATATATATATATATATAATATTGATCACAATATTGTCACATGTGTTAGGAGAAATTAATCAAACAAAAAAGATCACAGATCAGACATCCTAGTGCTCATGGAAGTTGTATTCGCTGCATTTCAAGCACATATTAATATAATAAATATGCAAGCTGTGTCTTTAAGCTCTGGAGTTTATGATAGTTCTAGTCCATCACGTACACTGTAAAAATGGTTTGTCAGTTCAATCTAAAAAACTACTTCACAAGTAACAAGTAAATTAATTAGGTTTATTCAGCTCAAAAAATGCTTTAATTGAAAGAATGTTTCAATGTTTCAATGTTTCATCTTATTTTACTTTTCACCACATTCAAGTGACAAACCATTTTTACAGTGTAACACAAACAATAGAGAACAAATCCAGATGTATGTAAACAAAGGGCCTCACAATGCACAAATACCCAAAAGTTAGTTTGGGTCTGTAAAGCCATATTTCAAGCCAGCAATGATTTCAGATTTTACAGTTTGACTGCTGAAAAGTCTTCCTAAACACCTCTGGATTCAGAAGCTCGCACTTCCTGCTGTGCCTACTGCCTTTGCCATATTTAGTCTATATACTAGCTATATTAGTTTTTATAGAATTAACTGATTAAATTAGGTAATAAACTACTTCATTTCCTGTTTTGAAAGACTCCAACAATGTGCATTACTGATGGTGTGGGCTTCCTCACACTTAAAGATGCAGAAAAGTGCTGTATTTTTTGCAACATGAACATTAAAATACAAACATTTTACATGCTGCTTCTGTTTCCAACAATTAAAATGACAATTTGTCACACTTATTTAAATGTATACTTTTTAGTTTGTATACTTTTTAAACTTTTTAAAGTTTATATACAGCCCTGGTTGACATGCATTTCTGGTCATATTTTTGTCCCCAAGAAGAAATTGGCTAAATTATACACTTTCCGTTAAAAGCTAGGGACACCTTGCCTTTTAAGTAATATTATATTCTATATGGCTTTCTATGTAACATCTTAACTTATTGCAAATCATCAAAACACAGGCTCACTTATTAAAAACATTTTCAAAACAAGGTGTGCCTAAACTTTTAATTGGTAGTGTAGTTGTAACTCAGCTTCCTTAAATAAATTTACTGGACTAGGTACTAAAACTGAGTTCTCCAAAAGCATCAAATGAAACATAACAGAACTACTGGGCACCAAAAAGTGTCAGAAATTCATGGTTGTTTCTGGTAATTTCAGACTAACCACAGGCTACATTGTAAATTTTTGATCACAAGCAACTCTTGGTCATGTATGTTACTTTACAAATAGGGTTTGCTGGAGCTCTAACTTAATTCCAGGAATCCTCCTGTCATGTAAAATGTGATCTAATCTGAAAAGTCCCATAGAAGATGACAAAGCAACAAAGCCTTACAAGTCTGGTAATATCTGTGTGAAGAAAACTGCTGTTTTGGCTACATGAGAAACGCCTCTCGTTTGCTGTTGATGATCCCCTCATTACCATCCGGGGCCACAGCCACACAACACAGCAGGATACACCAGCAGCACTCCATTAGATAGCCTTCTTACTTTTCCAAGATAAAAGCATAGCTAGTCTCTTATTTATTTTATGCTAGGCAAATATATTATATTAGGCTTCAGCTAGCACAACAGCTAGCTTACAGAGTGGCATATTTAGCCTGCATAATACACAGTGCATTTCCTATAAGCGGCAGAAAAGCAGCTAGAGTTAGGAAAACTCTGACCTCAATGTCTTTTCAGTACTTTGAAAACTGATTTGAAATGTACTGGTGAGTAGAACTGCCATACTTTGTCATCTGGGGCAAATATGACTTTCATGTGTAACTCTTACATTAATATCTTGTCTATCATCAAGAAATAATGATATATAGTGTTTTTACTGACAAAAACACAGATATTGCTAAGATAGTTTTGAACAGTGTGCTTAGGTGACTAAACCTTTTGCACATTACTGTATATGAACATTTCAATATAGTTTCTATCAACTGTTTATCAATGGCAATTTATTTATCTGCAAACCATTTTACATCTCAAATGTAAGTAACTCATTTACTATCTGATGGAAAAAAGTGGGAAGTACAACTTACAACACACACTATTCTGGTTACTGCTAGTAGTTGTAAAAGTGCTACTGTGGACACTAAGGTTATATATCCGTGCATTAAAATATATATTTTTATACAGCAATACATTTTATACAACAATATATTTCTGTTACAAAAGACAGTACTATAATTTGGAAAACAAGGTATCTAGCCACTACAAATGCCTTGCTGCATAAAAGTGGAAATCAATTGCAGTGTCTAGCTTCATTTAAGACCTGATCATTCTTTTGAGCAGACATACAGTTCTCCACTGTCAGTAGGTTGTGCAACCTTATGTCATTTAATCAATGGGGAAGAGAGAGTTGAAAGATGTTCCAGAATAAAAACCGGTCATCATGCTATAACTATGTAGTACCACAAGATGGCAGTAATGCTTCATAAACTCATTGCAGAGCACTGTTTCACAGATTTCAGTCCTCATCCAAATAAATTGAATGGGAATGTCTTTTATTCATTTTTGGCCTCTTAGCTCATTCTCAGAATGATAAGTGCATCCTTCTATGACTTTAAATGTACCAGCAATCTGGAAGAGTTGTGGTTGTACACACTTGTCCAGGAGGCACAAACCCTGCTGCATCTCTCCAAAACTACAGATATGAAGGCTTTCCTATCCTTAACAGATACTTGGAAGAAAACAAAAATCACTTAGCCTTGCCACCCACCAAACTCTGTGTAGACCTAGTAGGCCTATCACAATCACAAATTTTAGCTGATTTTTGTTCATTTTATGCAACTATTAAAGTACAAGCCTAAGAAGTCCAAATCATTTGATTAGTCATCTTACTTCCTACCTGTCAATACTTAGTAGCTTCCAACTCAGGACAGACATAGCTAGAGCTCAATTAAACAAACATTACTTACTGCCCTCTGAACGTGTCCTAATTGGAATTTTTATACTAAAGCAGGGTAAATGCTGGCAAAACCCACTACAGAAGGGAGATAAAGGTGGGAGATGAGCTATGAGAAGCCTGAAAGTGAAATGTCAACGCGATCTGAGCCTGACAACTATTTGAAAAAACACGTCCAAACCTGACGCAAATACACAAGTCTTGTCAAGTTCAGACAAATATTTCAAGCTGTAGTCTAACATGAAGTAAAACAACCAAGTCATTTCAGAAATACAGTAGATTAGAGCTCAACACCTGTGGAGAAGCCAGTCTTCTTATGACACTTGGTGAACTCAATGTTGAAGTAGGTGACGAGGGCATGGACATAGTCATTCCTCTGGATCTGCAGGCAGAAGGTTGAGGTAAAAGACAGGTCCTCTGGCTTCACTGTGTAGATGTCCACCTCCTGAACCAAACAAAACAGCTCTTTTAGTAAACATACAATACCTTATCAGCCATGAGGGAATATTACAGTTGCATAATATGAGACTGAAAGGCACCAAAATAATGTATTGCTATATTGTCAAATCTATGCTCTAAAAGCTCTCTCTAACTTTGACTAAAGCATACATTTCTATTAGAGAGCATTTAGAGAATGATACACATCCCCATTTCTCTCTGAAATGTCAGTATGCCAGTGTTGCAGGAATGACATTAGGCTGCATTTACTCAGCCCTTAAAGTAGAGCCTGGACATGAACACAGATGTTTGAGAGAGCTCAATCAGGTCTTATCATCAGCTCACTGCACACAGCCAATACCCATCTCTCCACCGTGTCCCTCTCAGAGGAGTAAACCTTGTTTATCAGACAAACAAAAGCAAAACAGCATGCTTCTCCATGGCTCTGCTACCTCTCTCCATTGCTACCACACTCTTAATCTTCCTTTCAGACTACAGACTGTCCTCAGTAATAGTGTATTATTTTTTATTTGCTATTACACATCACAAACTTTGTCAAGTGACATTTATCACTGTATAAACAAATTTGATCCTTTGTGAGTGAGAGAGAGAGAAATTTAGTGGTGGCAGTGAGCGTTAAAAGAGATCTGATTTCATCTCATTTCATGTTCAGTTTATCATAGAATGAAAGGCTACTTGATTCAAAAAGTGACAATGTTTAAATGCATCCGAATCAATTCAGCTCAGATTTAATTCAGCTTCCTCAGAGCACAAAAATCAAACATCTCCATTTGTCAATTATTTCTCACCTTTGGTTCCTTTAAATTTTCTTGCAATCAAATGATGTATAGTAAAGTACTGGTCAAGGCTAAAACAACACAATCTAATTCCCAGTGTGGAAGGTTAGTGGAGGACGCAATGCAGTCAGTGGTCTAGACTGGAATTGACATGCACAGCACTATCCTATCTGCAGACAAGGACAGTGAAATAGAAAAAAAGCATTCAAATTTGCTGTTATCCATTTGTACTTGTTTACTTGTTTACAATAGCTTATCCTATCAAAATCACAAGAACTCTGATGGTGCTAGATTCATCTAAACATAAACAGAAAAATACTGTCATAACTTATATTTGTACATCTGTACTCTGCTCAAAATTCCTGTGAGACTTGTGCCTCCCTCCATGCATTCAAATGAACTTTATCAAGCCAATCAACATCTCTCTCAGCCCATTATCCAGCACTCCATTGTGAAATAAGATTTCATTTCTAAGGATCATTATACAACAGCCATGCTTCGTTAGTGAACTAATGATCAGGCAAAACGTTCTAATGCATGGATTTTTCTTTCAGTGAGCTAGCGCAAACTAGCTAATACTCCACTAACTCTTAAAAGCACACTCAACATTCAAGTGACATCTTCATAAACAAGGCAAGAACTTTAATGCATATAAATCAGGAAAAGTGGAGAGAAACTTACTTTGATGAGGCAAGCATTGGTCACCACTTGCTTTGGGTCCACTATGTCCACCAGTGGCTCTTTCATTGCTACATTTCTGATGCAGGTCATGTCAAAGCCATACACATTCTCCCACCCTGCAGACACGCACACACACACACACACACAGAGCTGATTCTATGTTCGTAAATCACTTAAGTTTGCTCCCAAGTTGTATAATCTCTTCCAGCCTCAGTTCACTGCTTCCGTCATCATCAGTGACAGAGACAGAATACTGAATCATTTAAAAATTTTTGAGCAATTTGTACCCTTCACAGCATGATCAAAATCCCTGAAAACTATGCAAATTAGCAAAGCCAGCCCTGTGAGGTTCATACTGACTTCAAGGCCTGCCATTTCTGAGCCTGTAGTATTATTATTATTATTATTATTTATGAATGCAAGTGTGTGAAGCTCATCAAAAGTTAATCATCTCAAAACAGGTGATTAACTATAATCTCAGGGAATTTAAATTTCAGTTAATCAACACTGACAGTTAGTCAATGCTTTCAGGTGGTTTTCAAGCAAGGTGGACACCAGACAGCAGGGCTATGTGTCAGGGTCTGATGCAGCTCGTTTACAGTATAAAGTCCACTTTACACCAGATGTGGTAATCGTGCCACATGCAATATGCTCCTATGTTCATTAATACGACTTTTCACACTGGCCACATGCATAACGCAGTGCGGTGACTTTGTGTCTAATTTTGGGGCTTGCTGAGCATGGCATGCTAGTAATTCGTAGCTAGAAACAGTACAAAATTCCTTATTCTTACTCTATAGGGCAATCTAGGTCCATTCTAGAAAGTTCTAAAAACTGGTGAGCTGATCAGGGAAACCCCCTTTCAAACATTTAATAATTAATAGCCATGCCCAGGCGTCATAGAATAAAATACATGGAATAAAGACATCCAATCCTGGATAAAACAAATGTGGACAGAAAACGCTCTTTTTAGCATAATATGGAGCTATGCAAGTGTAACACATTTCGATATTGAAGCTGCAGAGTACACAGTATAATATATATTGAGAGTCTAGAGCTGGGATCATCAAACAGCACCCTGCTGGTCTACATTATAACATATGCAGATAAAGCTGAAGAGACCACAGACATTCAAACTGGGTTACTGCCGGGCCACAGGTCTTGGGAATTATTTCCTCATCTGGCACTCTGAACTCAATTAATGAAATGATGCCTTGCTAATTAGCTGATTAGTTGAAACAAGTGTGTTTAATGGGGAAGAAAGCTGAAGTCTGCAGTGCTGTAACCCACAAGGACTGGAGTCTGTCACATGTGCTTTATAATACAGGGTGAGTCAAAAATCAGGAACCACCCCAATAACAATAAAACAATAAATGTTATATTGTTAAATTATGGCTTACAAGATGATGGGAAGGTAAGGTAACATATGTCTCACCCACAGATCAACACATAACCATAATGATGAGATCAATTTAACACTTTGGTTTGGTGTCATAGACAAGAATTAAGCCTAGTCCTGGACTATATAACATTCTGAATGGAGATTCTCCACATGTTGTGCAGGACTAGGCCTCGGTCCTGACCTGCAAACTGATTCTTGCAAATATATGTCTTTTACATTGTGTGAAAATTTTATGTTAAAGGGACTAACAGAAATGCTACAACATCACCTGAAGTAAAACCTCTTTACATTAACTTACATTAAAAATGAAGAACGTTTTTGCCCTCTCTTGTAAAGTCTTCAATAAAAAATGGAAACATGCCTTATATGTGTCCAGCACAATGTGAAGTATCAGACTGACTACTCTCCTTCATCTCGTTTTGTTACTGTCTCACACAGGGGATGCTGTTAAAAGCCTGTATAGTTTGTTCTTGGCCTATACCTCCCCCAGCCACTATTGTTCTCTGCTTGTCCTGTAGCTGACAGGCGTTACAATTTGGTGTCTATTATGAGTAGATGTGTATGTGTGTGTACTGGCTGTACAGAGGACAATCTCCCCCTGAGCAGCAGCTTTACAGAACAGTGTTGCTCAGATGCGATGTTTGATGACTCTACTGTAATATCGATCATCACACAGCCCATAGCCCTGTGGCTGTGAAATGAAGCCGTGTCAAATGCTCTCTCACTCTCTCTTGTGTGTGTATACACTCACAGTGGATCTTGAAGTCCTTGTACTGCCTGTCCTCGATGGCCACAATATAGAGAGCAGCACGGTCCGGAAACATCAGGCCACCAGGTTTCTGGAAAAGAACACAGAGTCTACTCAATGTGAAAGAAGGCTCAGTGGGCTCAGTGGGACACATCCTTACACATACTCACATATACAGTACCATACAAAAGTATTAGGCCAGCCGAGGAAATGATTTATCTGGGCAGTAAGTGTTTTTGCTTGCAAATCACTATTTATCATTAGAAAACAACGTATACAGTAAAAAAATAACAAGAACTTCCTGTTTTACAAATCCTTTTTAGTATCTTGTAAGCTGGTTAGAAAAACAGGCTCATTTCCTCTTCTCCTCAGCGTACTCCAGCCACTGTATGGATTTGTTCAATCCCACCACCAGCACACCAAATTTAACTACTAATTAGTCAAACTAAACATTGAATGGTAACTGCAAATACTGGGCTGACAGACTGACACACAGACAGATGTTAAAATGACAATTTATTGTATTAATGTTATTTTTTTTAAATGTATTTTTTATAAATTAGGGATCCACTTTGGCAGCCATTTTGTTCACAGTAGTAAATTGGATTACCCTGTGCTGGGAAGAGGAACCAGAGAACTTGTAGAGATGAGAATTACCACTCTGCAATGTCTTCCGGTTTTCTCAAACGCTAGATGGCCCCCCGAGTGAGTCCAAAATGAATGGGTTGATAGCATTTGAACATTTGAGCAAAACCATAGTTTATAAATGCTTAAACATTTTAATGTAAAAGAAAGTAATCATTTCCTGAACACTGAATATCATAAAACATTTTAACACTGCTGTTATATTTTTAAGAGCTTTTAAACTCGAGCTATAGGAGTTTAAAACGGCGCCTCATGTATGTTCATGACGTCTGTGAGCGTGAACAGTCAATGAGCTGCTCTGCTCACCAATCATCATGCTCTAGCACTAATGCCTGCCTTCTGCTGCCCAAAACCCATTTACTGTAGAAAAAAGGAAATATATAGGTAAGATTTCTTTGTTTTTTAGTGAAATACATCCTTCTACTTTCTAAATTTAAAGAAACGTTCTGGGCGAGTGATTAGAAACTATTTTAACTTTTCGTTTTTAGCTGTTGAGCGCCATTTACTCCCATTCATTGAGGGCTCACTCGTGGGTGCCCTCTGCTGTTTAGCAGTCCTGTTTTTGATATAACAGGGGGAATAGGAAGTGGCCAGGCTCCTCATAAACCGGCTCTGGAGGAACACAGTTCACCTACCTGGATTACATCCACTGTCTGTTCTACAGGACTGCTTTATCACCAAACATTTTCAAAGTTCCATCTGTGTTCATTCTCTCCCTCCATCTTTATCTGTGTGGTTGATAGCTAGCAAGCTAGCATCCACCACAGCACCAGACAAGTGAGCTCACTTTGTTTATTTACCCATAGCTGCTGGACTGTATTTGTGCTGTGCTATACCATCATTGTATTTCAAACCTGGACCTTTTGTGCATTGCATTGTGATTAATGTTGTTTGTGCTGTATGTATGGGGGAGTTGTATTTGTTTGTTGTGTTTAGCTTCTGGTATTTTTTTGTATTTTAGTAAACACTGATATTGTGCGTCTGATCATTGGGCCTCATTCACCAAGCAATCTTAAGAAGAAATTTCTTCTTAAAACAAACTTATGTAATGTTTTCTTATTTGAGATTTGTTCTCAGGTAAGAACAGCATCTGCTCACTCAAGAGCACAAAGGTGCGAAAAATAAGTCATGAATCTGATGTAGAATTTTTCTTAAGAACAAATTTTAAGAAAAAAACTTATAAAGACATTGATAAATGAGGCCCATGGACCTTATCTATGCTATATCCTGCACCATTGACTTATTTAGTTTTAGAGGGGAAGGGGAAGCATTTGTTCTAGCAGTGACACTAAACTTGGTAGGTAGGTTGAAAATCAAACCCTCTACTCAGGCAACTGCAATGACATTCACTCACCCACCAGTGTATATCACCTATAAACAGTGATTTTATGTTGTGGCTGATCTCTGCAATAGCATATGGGCTGAATTTTTGGACAAACCTGTTTTCAGCATCTCCTGTGACACCAATCGTCTGACACCAAATCTGTACGTATGGCATAGTGATGCCATACTGATAAAGTAACGCGAAGAATTTTAATTGGACAAACTGCCCAGCTGGTAGAGGCCAATAAATGTTAGGGTATCTCTCATATAGACCAAATAATGATTACTGAATATGATCTCAAGGTCTATATTCCCAAAACCTGGTATGTTTAATCGATATAACACTCCATGTATGATAGTACACTCCACCCCGGCCATGTTCCAAATTTTGTAAAAGTCTTCCACTCTATAATTATAACTTCTCAACAGTTTTATGCGGTAAGTAATCTGATATGCTTTTTCTCGCACACTGAGAAACTGTTGTATAGGCACAGAGCTTGATAGGGAGGTCTCTCATCTTGGCCACTACTCTGCCTGCAACTGCCTGACTCTTGCGTGCCACTTGTGTAGTGCTGCTAAAACTGGTCAGATCCTGCTTGATTGCTAATGCTGAATAATCTACAGCATGCATGACTGTAATGCTAAAGGTGGTCTGAGACATTTGCACAGTACTGCTCACACACAGACACACATACATACACATACTGACCAGCCACTTGTCTCTGGCATAGATGACAGTGTTGAGCATAGACTCATAGAAAAGGCAGTAGCCCATCCATTCTGAGATAATGATGTCCACCTCGTCCACTGGCAGCTCCGTCTCCTCTACCTTCCCTTTAAAGATGGTGATAACTGCAACATATAGCAGCAACAATGCAAAAATAAAGTTAATCATAAACACAACTACTATTCATGCATAAATAAAACTAGTCACAAACACAAATACAGCTACTACCAAAGCTTGGAAACTTTGGACAGATAGTCAGCTCTCAGTGTCTGAGTTTCCAGCCTGAGTATCAACGAGCAGACCATGCTGAGTGTGTGTGAGTGTGGATCCATCTCCTGCAAAAAAAGGACAGGTTTTTGCAGCCCAGCTTTTGATCAGCTTCCATGGGGAGTTATTGAATTCAGTTTGGCTGGTAATGGAACACTTTGTCAGCAAGAAATATGAAGCCTCCCATCCCCTTCACCAGTTGTCCTGCTGAACTGCAGCTCTGCTTCAGGGATTTGGCTTGGTAAAAAAGTCTTTAGATATCTCCTCAATTACCACACACATCAGTTTCTCATTTTATGCTTGTTTGCCAAGATGAATCATGCATGTCATGGTTGCTTCAAGTTTTGTGACTGTGCAAATGAGTTGCTATGAGTCTCTGTGCAGTTTGCATTCTATACTGCGTTTGAGGATGAGCGCCACTGTAAAACAGCTGGAAACATCTAGTTTGAGAGTTGGTGAACTCTTATTCACAAGCTCTAATAATATTTCATACAGTTCATTTCTTACTATAGCTGTAAGCTGTAAAATTTTCATGCAGGTCATCTACCAGAATGCCATATTCATTTTAGAACAAAGTCACTGTAAGAACCCAAATAAGGCTTGAGCTCTTACCGTTGTCCAGGTGATTGGCTTTGATGATTTTCTCAGAATACTCTGATATACTAGAGCATTCAATCTGAAATGACAAAAAAACACAATCTAGCATCACACATGGGACTGCACTATATTAGCTAATTGCTATCACAATATTGTCCTGTGCAATGCTGATATTGCAGAGGGTTGCAATTTGGGAATGAGATGTCTATTTTAAATGGTTAAATAAAATTGTCTATTGTGTGGTGTGAGCATTTTGAGTGTTCTGTGGATGCTTTGAGGAATCATGTCCTCTGAAAATGTAAATAATGTTTATAAAAATAATGCAAGCCAGTCTTTAATTGTAATATATCACAATAATACGTTGCAAAAAAGTCCATTTTATGCAGCCCTGTCCATGATTATACCTTCATTTTCATCTCTCACAGCTAAGAAATGATACTGTGACAGAGATAAAGACAGCCAGACAAAATTTGCCTTGGTTTGAGTGGTTAAAACGCACACACAAGCCTTTTCTTCTCTACTCCCTCTCCAGTCCCTTCACGCTGATGGCCCTTCAATAGCAGAGTTCCTCTCTACTCATTAGAGTGGTCTACGAGCACTCTCTTCTGCATTTAACACTGCCTAAGGCTGAGAAACTGGGTTCAAGCACATTGTGGGGAAAAGTGCATTAATGAGATTGCTGCATCTGGACTATTATCAGCATACTGTCCTTGTGCGAGAGAGAGTAGGAATGGGGTGGTTACCGATTTTAATGATATGCTATAGTGTAAGAATTAATGATAATCATACTCTTAGGTTTAGGGGTGTAATAGCTAACAGATTAACTGCTGATCAACAAGTACACAACTGTTCAGCCAATGCTATTTATTTGAATGTATTTCATTTCCAATAAACAAAAGTTCCTGTTTGAATAGACAGGTTTTGGTATGAGGGCATGCATGAGGGTGCAATAAGCAATTCGTTCTGCTAGGCAGACCTACTTAAAAATGAAGCATGCAGCTAAAAATAGGGGGGTTAGGGACCACTTTTCACCGTAGCACAGCTACAACAATGTACAACACTAAAGCAAACGCCAAAAGCAAGTGATAGACAACCATTTTGTCCATGTTCTCTGAAAGAAAGTGCGATGCACCATAAGAGAATCCCACATGGGTGAGTAAAATTCTAGAGAATGACACCAGTCATGGTATTTATGTTCTTAACTTGGGCTAGTAATGAGTAGTAAATATAACTTTAACTTTAAGTCACAGAAGAATCATAGATCCCTGAAAAGTGTGCAGCAGGGCAACACAGTTATTAGTAGTGTGGGTGATAAATTAATGTAAAATGTTTCTATGATACTAAACGTAAGTTATATTAAGCAAGGTTTGAATGAAGATAAGATAAAATATGATAACACTGCTTCTGGTCCTAATATTCTAATGGACATGCATGATTGACATCTGTGTCCAAGAATCCAGCCTGCTATGCCACTAAGGAAGAACTATGCACAATGGTGGAGTAAAGAGAAGAATGGAGATTTTTTTTTTTAGCCCCACATGTACGATCCTACTGACTTTAAGTTCATTTTGCTTGCTAGTTTGCTTTAGCTCACTAGGTTACCCGAAGTTTGAGATATTCAAACAGGAACACATAGTTTTGATAAAAGCTGGATGGGCAGAACGCAGCTGACATTTGTGCACGGTGAGGATAAACCTTACGTGATCTTTCCCCAAGGATTGTACTGCCCACTTTACATCAAAAAGGGAGAAATTCTTGCAAAGTAAATGTACACACGGGAAGTCATCCCTTGGTGTAATTTGTACTTGCATATTGTGTGCACACAAGAGCAACATTGACCTAATTAGTGAACAATCATAATTTTAGGTTCCCTGGAGCTAATCCCTAAAATGCAAGTGAGAGATTCCAAATCAGTATCAGGATCATTCTCAGATTGAGCTACTGTTGCCCAGACAGCTGTTCTCGCTGTCTCTCATGCTATCTCTCTCACTATCTCCTTCACTATCTCCCTCGCTATCTCTCTCTCTCTCACGCTCTCTCTATTTCTCTATTTCCCTTGTGTGTTCGTGAGACTTCGTTAGTGTCCACAGCCGTCCCCATCAACCTTGTGTTTTCCACACACAGCTAGACAGCTCTGTTCCCCCGTGAAATCTTCAGCATGTGGGCTGCTCTCACTTGCTCTCAGAGAGAGGAGAGTAATGCAGTAAGATTTCACTGGAGGACACCTGAACTATAATCAGCTGCTGCCTCTGTCAGCACATTTCCCCTCACAAAAGACAAGAAGGGTTTGATATACATGATCACAGCAAAGCACAGGCGCACTGGGACCTTCACCTAGTGACTCGATGAAAATTTGCCACTTTGATTGCTTGATTGAACAATAAAGACTTATTAAAATTGTTTCTTTCTCACCCTTTCTTCCTCACGTTTTCTGTTTATCACACTCTGTCTCCCTGCCTCTCTTTCTGTCTCTCTTCCCCTCTCACTCTTTCTTTCTGTCTCTCTTCTCACCCTCTCTCTGTTTCTGTCCCTGTCACTCTCTTCCTCTATCTTTCTTTCTCTTCCTCACTTATTCTTTTTCTTACTTTCCCACTCTTTATCTCTCACACACAAACACACATGTACACTCACATTCACCCTCTGTATACCTGCGGTTGGATTAATGAAAACATGTCTACCTGTACACCTATTTCTAAAGGTTCAATACTAAAAGTGAGCCATAATGACAGACAGCAATTATTGCAATGTAATATCTCAGTAACACTTAGTTCTGCATTTGTCTTGGACATGGTGGTATCATAAATCAGAGTGGGCCCGCAGCCCAGGCTGCATTTAGGAGTGCAGTGCAGGCATTTGTGAGAGAAATCATGGTGGCCCCACACACTGAGCTCTTTGGCATTTAGCTCTTATGAGGCCTTTCGAGGAAATGCTGATTACTAGCAGAACTGCATCAGGGCAGCAAAGTGCAAATCAGATCGACTCTACTCTTTACACATGGCAGACCCCCAAAAAACACCCCCACTGCTCATACTGAACTAATGAAACTCAAGGTGTCAAGAACACATGTCCACACACACACACTGGGCTTCTAATTTGCTAACAGGAACACTCTTAAAGGAGTGGACATTCTAGTTTGAAAATGTCCTACCAAGATGTCAGTTACCAATGAAATCATTTCACCACATGTATTATATTGATAGAATTTATTTGAACCTCTTAAGTTTCTATGTGAAACTAAAAAACAACTACAGTTCATTACTTAGGCCTGAACTATATGGCCATGTAATCAGTTATCATTGATGACTGACGAGTGACTCAATGACAGTGCTACAAAGGTGAGAACACCTTTTTTTTTAAAAAAGATCTATGTTGCAGTTTCATGATATTAATAATATGAGCCAGAAAAGTGCACTCATACTGTATTTGAAAGCTGCTGCTCACCTACACCAAAATGTCACTGCATAATTACACATGACATGAATAGCTAGTTGCACCTCTCTTTTTTAGTTCCTTTCTTTTTCCTACCTAATTTTTTTTTTTCAAATACGCCACTGATTGTAGGCACCTAAAATGCCAGTTTAATGTTTTTCATATTGTGACTTTGGCAAATAGATAGTACTGGAAATGCACAAGAGTGTTTCAGGTTTGTTTACCCCTCACAGCGTGGGCTTCAGATTAAAAAAAAAACAATAATTGGCCCAAAAAAACAGTAATCGTCCAGTTGGGCTGTAAAGAAATTGTAATCTAAATTAGCCATAAAAATTCATGATTGGCGCAACCCTACTGTTTTCTGTTCAGATTTGTGGCTTTATTAAAAAAATTTAATACCACAGTATTTTCAAAATATCTCTCTGTATCAAAATTTCAGATTATATTTAACTTTGTAATAAAGTTAATGAACCCATGGTTCCTAATTGGTGGTATCGTATGGTGAAAGAACATAAAGAACAACATGTAAAAATCATCCCTTTGGCCCTTTCTGCTATATGTCGGTCAGAGTTGCCCCAGGAGCCAATTACTCCTGCCTCATAATACAGTGTGTGAGGACTGTTAAAGTAGCACAGCTAATAAATACCTATTCATTAAACCTAAACACAACAACCACCTGGGTGCCAACTGAGGGACAATATACATGAGAGGAGGCGAGAGAGATGGAAAGGTGTTCATTTAGAATGAACACTTCATTTAGAATTTTAATGCTTTAGTGAAAACCCTGCCTCTATGTCAAAAATCTGAAACCACACAGAGCGCGACGCTGGAGTTTTCACAACTCATTCTCCAGGGCAGAACAGACATGCAGAATGTTATTTTAGGAACAGAACACTGCTCCAACATGGCGAGACCCTGCAGGTTTGCTGAGCTCCAGGCAGAGGGAGGTGGGCTAGCCCTCTTACCCCGTACACGTGCTTGGCTCCAGCCTTGGCAGCGAACATGGAGAGGATGCCAGTGCCACTCCCCACGTCCAGCACGATTTTGTCCTTGAAGACATGTTTGTTGTGGTACATAGAGTTCCTGTAAGTCAGCGTCCTCACCTCGTCCTTCAGCATCTCCTACAATGTGACACAGCGGAGATTAGAGCATCACGATTAGAGGAGCAATACAAATAAAACTAGGAAAATAAACTCATAACAATTATGCAGTATAAGGCATGTCGTCACTGTCACATTTAAACCTTGAAACTCAATTTCACTTTTGGAGGGTTTTGTTAATCATTTCAATATCTTCATGACAGGAGGATGCAATGGGGGAAATATAGGAAAGGCAGGCACAGAAGTATCTCATATCTTTGCAAAATATCTTTACGTATTCCCATAATATGCTTTAAGCCTGTAAGAATGGGCAAAACTGTTGCTGTAACAGCACATCTCTGCAGATCTTTCATGCTGCTTTCTCTCCCAGTGATATAAAAAGCTCACGTTCACATTGAGGAGATGAGATAAAGGGGAAAGAAAAAAAAAAAGCCTGACCTATATACTAAAAATGAGACTGAACAAAATTCATCTCACACAGATCTCGCCTGAATCCCACCGCTCACGCCCACCCCCCAAACCCAACGACCTCATCGCCTCCCCGCTGTCTCTCTGTCTGCCAGTCCCTCCCTCTCCCTCTCTCTGCATTCACCTGTATTATGTTCATACAAATTCAAGTCATGATCACGCCCAATATAACAAATCTTGTAATATAAAAGCAACCACGGTAAGGGAAAATTTCTGATAGATCTTTTATGGAAATTCCAGCAGACAATATTATTTCTTAGTCTAGCCCTAATATAGCCTCTTAAAAAAAAACAGCGTTTTATAACTTCATCACACTGTTTGGCAAACGATTAAACATGCTGAGAATATCTTTGAAAGGTTCTACATAGAACCATGAACACTAAATGAACCCTTTGCATGCCTAAAGTTTCTTTGCCCGGCGAAATCGTTCTTCAAATTGATGGAGAATGTGTTGCATGTGGTTCTATACAGAACCTTTTTAGGTTCTGTATAGCACCAAAAAGTGTTCTTCTGTTACAAGCTTGACATCGTTACAATAGCAGAGCCTTTTTGGTGCAACACAGAACCATATACAACACATTTCTCCAATCTGAAGAACCATTTCAAGCATGCAAATGGTTCCTTGAATGTCCATGGTTCTATACAGAAACATTGTCTTTACTAAAGAACCCTTAAAGAACCATATTTTTAAAGAGTGTATTGTTACGCATAATAAACTTTACTGTACTAGTCTGTGGATGTTTACTGGCCATCAATGGACAAAAAGTATGAAAATTACAATTTCCTTTAATATCGGTCTCGCAAATGAATTTGTGCATCCCTTTGTACTTGGTGCTTTTTACAAACTCTCTCACAATGCTTGGTTATATGACTCATCTCACAGAAGAATCACCTTCAATTAAACGTTGATTAAGCACCTTTCATCTGATGGTTCTTTAAAGAACAATTTGTGTAAATAAGATGTGTATGGACAATCTTTTCAAAGAACCTTCATATAATGCGAGTGATATTTCAAGGTTCTTCTAGTACTATATGTCCAACTATTTAGGAACTTTTGTTTTTAAGGGCATAAGCATCAGTGCTGTCAATCCTAATTTTTTCTCAACATAAATAATATTGTTCAAGACTGCTGACACTGCAATGATCATAAACATCAAATTGTCCTAAATAGTACATATTCTCTTCGTAAAAAACAACAACAAAAAAACTTGTCTTACCTCATGGATGCCAAAATGGGCATAGGAGTCAAAGTAGTAGTCTCTGGAGGTCATCTCCTCAGGGTTGAGGAACTTGGCCATTTTGCCACGGCCGGGGCAGCTGGGCAGGGTGGCCGCATGGGGGGTGTGCGGAGCGTGCGAGACGTGTGAGGGCCGCGGGGCATGGTGGACTGAGGGCACTGGTTTAGGCAGAGGAGACGGCTGCGCTGACTGAGATGGTGCTGCGCTCAGGGGCTGTTGCTGTAAGAGTCAAGCATCAATGAAGAGAGAAAAAAGATTACTGTGCTTGTACGTATGGGCTATATTTACTGAAGGCTCACTAGAGCTGTCTATCATGACCCAGTTGTAATGTCCTGGAACCCCCCCCCACACACACACACACAGACACCTTTTTTTCTATCCTGCTGTCGCAATCTATTGCCTCTGTTGTAAAAAAACTTTGTATCTCTGAAGTCGTAACTTTATATGAGAAGAACAAAAGTGTTTTCAGCATCTAACTTAATGTAAACTAGGAAGATTTGCATTTCAAAACTTCTTTTTGTCCATTCATCATGAAGTAGTCGCAGAATGTAAAAGGCAGTAAAAACTCCTTGGAGGAGTGCTGGAGCATTTGCAGTGTTGCGAGAGGTGGAACAATAGTGGCTGCGCTAATGTGAGGGCCAAGGTTAGAAAGGAAGCAGCTGGTGAAAGGAGCAGCACATACGGCCAGCCTCTCAGACTCACATTAACACATTCACTACCTACGGAGAGAGAAAAAGAGAGCGGTGGCAGAACAGCAGAGCCTCTTCGCTCTCTCACTGAGATAATACAGCTGATTAACAAACCTCCTGTATTACAGCAGACAGGCCTGCCATGTCATGTAGATGTTCTGCACGAGTTTATAAGAAGCTGTTCTGTGTCACACAGTGGTGCATGTCTTAATCCCTTTAACACTAGACTTCTTATTCCATTATTAAACTTAAGACTGTTTTTCGCTATGAACTACGATTTAAATTGTAATCCTATCTATGTACCCTTAGGATTTAAGGGGTTAAATGACAGACTCTCAATGAAAAGTATGCCATTCAGACATGATTCTGGGGGTGGGCAACATAATGTCATGATATTGATATCATGACGATATAATCTCGTTATCATTAGGGATGCACGATGATGAGACATCAGCAGATAATTGCTCTAAAAATAATATATATATAATATATGAATGAGGCAGGCATTTGACAGATACTTTAGATTTGACTGGTATTTCAAATCAATATTTGAATTACATAATTATTGTATTCCATAAAAGCAGAATGTTTAGGTGATGATGGGCTATTGCACTAATATCTTTCAAAACATTTGGATTTTATTCACTTTATTCATTTTCACTTTTTCACCCGATACATATGTGTTATGTTTTTCTGTTTATCTAGGCTATGGCACACAGTTCCCATATCCCTACTTATTATGATACACTATGACACAAAGCTTTTTCGAGCATACTGAAGATATTGTACTTCAACATTGACAAACTGCATGTTTCAATAAACAATAGAGATTTAGCTGGTGATCCCATGTGGCATAGCTATTGGTTTCACCCTAGTGTTTTGAGAGGGTTAGCTCAAATCTCTACTGTGACATGACCACATAACTGGCCCTGATTAATTGAAAGTAGTTGTGAATGTAATAATTATGTGAAATGTTAAATAAAAGTGATCACTGTACAGTTTTTGGTCAGTTCTTTATAGTAATACTAATCATGTACTGTGAAAAGGTCTTCAATTCAATTAGATTTGTGCTATATTGCACACCCCAAACTCATTCTTGATCCTTCTGATATTCACAGCCACACTTTTCTTGAGCATGAAAGTCTACTGCTCGAACTGTCTGTTCTCCTTGTTGAAGCTTGGACATATATGATGAATCTATACCACAAAAAAAACGTTGTCCTTCACAGCTTGAGCTCAGTGTTGCATAGCAGAACTGCTTGCTCTAAGTTGCCAGGCATCTGATGAAAAGAACAGTCTGACAAGCATCTTTCAAAAGCTATCTAGTGGCAGCGGAAGATTCCTCTCTGAGTGTGTGTGTGCGCACACATGCATGGACGTGGGTGGGTGGACATTAGCGTAGGTGTGTGTATGAGTGCATTCGTGCATGTGTGTGCACATCCCCACAGCCGGAGGATTTAAGATAATGAGTGTCAGCAGCAGGGAAAGCAGCTGCATCAAGAGACATCAAGGTGTCAAGATAGCATCTAACAGAGGGAGGGGTGGAGACCAAATGTCCTTTCCCCCTCCAGCCAACTAACGAATCTCATTTCACATTCTATTTTTACTCCACATACACGCCACGTTCAGCCCCTCAATCTTCGCAAAGCAGGTTCAAGGAAATAAGCAAACATTGTTTTCTAGACACACAGTACTGTGCACAAGTCAGAGTTCACTCTTATATTTATTTTATTCATTTCCAGTCAAAATTGGAATGTATTCAATACAAGCTACTCACTTTTCAGTGTTAGGAAGAAGTAAGCTGATAGCATATTTTTAACAGAAAATAGAGTATTCAGTGTGTCCATTCTTTGACCTGCTTTCAGTTTTTCGACTAAATCTGCTAAGATATTTTCCAGGCTTCTGATAAACACCTCCAAAGTTCAGCCTGAGAAGTTGATTGCATTTTCAGCTTCTTCCAATCTTCCAAAGTAATCCCGATCACAAATTTACACTCATCACAGATGTCCAGTTACGGTGCTCTAGTGCACTATTTGTTCAGTTTTTTTCTCAGAAATGGCTTGACAGCTGTATCTTTTAGATTCACAACATTGTCATCTTCTCACAGGACACTCCCTTCCTTATGCAAGTGGATTATGTCTTATCTAATCTCCTCAGAAATATATCCTGAAAAAGTATAACTTATAATTAATGCATATTCTGACTGTATATTCTAAATTAAGTAAAAGGTCTCTGATTTTTGCACAGTACTATATCAGAGTTGATGTTTTAAGAACATTATGCACTAGATACAGTACTGCTGAGAAATATCTTAACACTTTAATATGGTGCCGGTACCTGGGAAGTGTCTCATAATTAAGTACCCAGTGCTGAAATGGTTTAATGATGATTTTACTGTGCAGTTTAGGAGTATTTGTTTGGTGTTCAGTAGTGTACACGTTGCATCTCATCCCTTCAAAATGACTCCGTTCTCCTTGTCCACATTTTCTTTGGTATACTGTAAGTTCATCAGTCGACTGTATGATAAGCTCCATTTGCTCAAAGTGGTTCACATCTCTATTTGAGGTTACATAATACTCTCAACCTTATCTCAAACTCTCTCACCCCCCAACCCCCCCACCGAGTTCAGTAGAATTCTTCTTGAGCAAACAGGGACACTGAGCAGAACAGTCTTCAGCCTCTCTCAATCTTGCAGCTATTTCTGGCAGTATTTTCAGAGGTCAAGCACTCTCTGGCAGTTGGGCTTTAATCTTTAAACTGAGCTCTTCCAGCTGTTTTTGGGAACCACTGAAAAAAGTAAATTTAAATAAAGTCTTTTATACCATTAAGCCATTGAGATCTAAAGTGTTTTTCTCACTTTGTTATAGCACAAATACGGTGAGTTGCCTTTATATACTGAAATGACAAATAAATGAGACTTGAGGCATGAAAACTTCAAGGGCTAAAACCGTCTGAAAGCCCACTACTCCTTCAACTCATGTTAACCTACAACAAATCCCAAAGCCATGAAAGGCTATGCGGCAATTCTCTCAGCAGTTCACACTCTATAGCATATGCACACGTACACTGCAGGTGGACAAAAGACTAGATGATATTTATAAATGGGATATTTATAAATATAAGGATCATAAAAGCAAACATCTGGTGCACAGATACTAAAACTACCCCACACTATATATCTGTTCACTTTGCCTGCTCTTACACATTACATGGTAGGTCAGAGTAAACACTGTATTCTGAAGGTACTGTAGTGGTGTTGGTAATGTTTTGGTACTGTAATGCACTTCATTATTAAATTAAGGATCTATCTGCATCTATGTACTATGTTGCAATCTTCTGTGTTGCTTAGATAAAGCAGATTTATTTAGAAAATTAGCCATTCTGGGAAGGAAGCTTCTTGTCAAAGAGGTTAATATGTGAGATTTTACCATATTTAGCTGTTATTTGCAAAGCATTTTGGGAAAGTGACACTTTGTGCAGCAGTGATGAGGATGGAGCTTCCCAGCCATCTTTGTAGTCATTACTTTGTAGTATAAGTGCACGTGTTGCTGTAATGTGATGGTCAGTTTATACTGTGATTGATACAGTCCCAAGCTACTGCGGAAAACAATGACAATTCAACACAAATATTCAAACATTTGCTATCAGAAGGTATCGAGATAGATTTGTCATGTATGCCCATATTTTTGCTTTATATTTCATAATGAAGCAAAGCTGACAACGTATTTTACGTTTTCCCCTAAAGTCCATTTGTGATGTGTGGGTTTTATTCACAAAAAATAAGTCAATTAATTTTAATATGACAGTTTTCCAATATATGCATAATATATTTAATTGTGCCATTGTGAATATATGCTAACTTGCACATAATAGTCAATATATTAATATTAATAATATATTAAACTATATGCACATAATAGTGTAATAGTAATCCCTGTAATAGTGTCAATTCTGTAATATTGGCTTATGTCAACATATAGGGAAAGATAAACTTTATGTTGAAAAATATATGGGAATATATTTCCCTTGCAGTTGAGTTGACTGAGGGCAGAAAACTGAATTAGAAAACAGCATAATATGAGAGAACAGAGACACTCCACCCTGCCGAAAAAAAAATAAATAAATAAAATGATGGTATTCTGTGTTTTTCTGATAGGTTGAAATATGACAAATGTATTCTAATGGTTTATCAGGTGACCTGTGACTGATTGCAGATACATTTGATGTTTGCCCTAATTGGATCTAAAGGTGTTCTACAGGAAAATCATGCTCTCTGATAACCATTAAGCCAATTCTCATTAGGAAGCAAAACCAACTGGTTTTGATCTTAATGGCTCTGATGGTCTTTTTTCAGCAGGACATGCAGCTTCAAGTGAGAGGAAAGTAACACATTAAGGGGTTGGCAAATGAAACTGCCCTTCAGAATCTCAGTTAAACTATTGTTACTACAGTAAATGCAGCATAAGTTATCCAAAAAGCGAGTTTAGCGAAAAGAAAGGAGAGCTGTACATAGAGAGCAGTGGGTGGGAATATGTTCCAGCTTTAGCTTATGTGTTTAGCTGAACTGGCTGAAGCTCGTGCAGCACCACGGCCAGCGCTTCAGCTCAGGACTTCACCCCTCACACTCACACACACCACTGAGACACAGGACACACTCCTCCCAGAGCTCCCCTCAGGCCTCCACTTCTACAACACTTCACCTCGGGTCAAACGACCAGCGCGACAAAACCACCCATCACATTCGTTCATGTTGACACTAGACAAAAACGGAAAAAATGTCCCCTGAACGGCACAGAAGAGTGTGACAGAGGTGGTCTTCACTACTGTGTAGTAGTATTCTGTAGTACAGACATAGTTGCGCTGTTTTTAAAGACATTTTTCCGGAGTGACTCTTCACTGCAGCAGGTCGTTCTGTGTTTCTCAGTGTGTGCTAAACTCCGCTCTCCTCTCTGAGGAACAGGAAAAAAAAATCAACGCCCGGAGTGTCTTTAGCTGTAACGCGGCTCAAACAAGACCAGCATGAGCATTAAAGGTGCTCTTTCGGTCAGTTTTTGTGTGTAATCTCGTAGAGGCACTTACCTCAGCGCTCTCCGGGTCCGCCATCTTCCTCCTGAGGAGCAGGCAGCGGGAGGAGTGTTTCATTCCCATAAGAGCCAGCGGGATGAGCTCGACTCCACCGGAGGAAAGAAGGAAAAAAGAAAGGGCTCTGGGATTAAGACTAAACCACAGAATGCTCCTTAAAAAGTCCTCAGAAAGGGCGCGATGTGTGGCGATAAACAGGTTGAACTAAAACAGGGTCCCGGAGCAGAAAACACTCCCTGAAACTAGTTGACTGCTCGTTTGAATCCACAGTGTAAAAAGTTCTCCACATTGATGGATCCTCTGAGAGTTGGTGGTCGCCTTATTCCCCGGCAAAACTGGAAAAAGCAGCGGAAGCCCATCCATATCTCTCTCTCTCTCTCCCTCTCTCTCCGGCTTTAGTGAGTGGAAAACTGGCCGTTATTGAAAGTGTCAGCCATCCATGTCTAACACTGCTGGATGTGACGGAGACCCTGCTGAGCATAAAACCTCCATTTTACGGGAGTAACTGGAACCAAATTTAGATGAAAAGTGCCGCAATTTGCCGGTCGCTGTTTAAAAGGCTCGGTGCTCTGAGGAATCCCTGTCGCGTCTCCTCTTCTAACACATGCCGGGTTTCTCCTCGCAGCAGCTGTGCTCTGGACCTGCTCAGCTGCTGCTTGTCTTCTCCGTGTCAGCCGCGCGTGCCGGTGCCTCGTGCACCTTTCTCAGCTCGCGCTGGAGGACGAATGAGTTGGGTTCTTGTAAAGGAGCCGGTGAGAGCTCGCGCTTGTCCTGCTGCTCTCACAGCCCGGACTTCAGCCACTTACTCCTCAAAGGCTTCTCCATTTAGTTCTCAGTTCACCTGAGTGCAGCGGAGCGGTTACCCATCCCTGTCGCTCAGTACGTGCTGTAAAAGCCAGAAATGCTCATTTAATCACATTATCCAAATCACTAGAGTGACTTTAGGCAATTACACTCTAATAACCTCTAAGCTTACAATTAAAATGTAGCCAGTTCAACCATCTCTTTCTCTCAGTACATGCTGTAAAATCCAGGAATGTTTATTTAATCACATTATCCAAATTATGAGTGTAACTGTACTGATATGATCTCTAAAATTACAAATGGCAAACAGTTACCCATACCAATCCTGTTCTCTCAGCTCGATATAAAATCCAGGAATGCTAATTTAACCACATCATCCAAACCACTAGAATGACTTTAGGCACTTGCACTCTGCTAATATGCTCTCCAAAATGAAAAAAATACATTTTTTGCCAGTGTGAAATTAAATCAGCTACTCATCTCTTTCTTTATTTCATGCAGCACTTGCTTTATATCCAGAAATGCTAGTTTAACCACATTATGCAAATCACTATAGTGAATGTAAGCACTTGTACTCTACTAATCTGCCCTCCAAAATGGGGGAAAATAAAAATTTTAGCCAGCTCACCTGAATGAAATGAAACACTTACCCATTCTTTTCTCTGAGTGCCTGCTATAAAATCCATGAGTGCTAATTTCACTCCATTCTACAACTGTACATTAGTAGAGTGACTTGCATTACACTTATTTAGCCATTTTACCTGAAAGAAATGAGTCTTGCTGTAAAACCCAGAAATGCTAATTTTACTCTGTTATTCAAGTAAGGTAATGTTGTAGGGCAGCTTTGGCATTTGCACTCCATGCATTTCCGCTTTACCTGACTGAAATGTCTCATCCCTTTCTCACAACACTTTCTATACAATCCAGGAATGCAAATATAATCTCATTATCCAAATCAGCAGATACGGTTTTGTTAATCTAGTGATTTTTCAGCGTGTTTTGTGTTGCCTTTTTCATGAACGTGCTGTAATGCTGAAGTAAGGCACTAGAGCAGAGTTTATTTTCAGACAAGCCTGTAGCAGCGCTTACCTCCACCCACCCATTATAATCCTGTATAATTCAGCAGCAGGGTAGTGGCAGGCAATGCCCAGTGGCCTGAGCTGAGTACATAGCGAGCGTATGACTAAACCCACACTGCTCAGCTCTCTTCAGTCCCTGCAGAGCAATTACTACATACCCACAGAACCCTGCTGCCTATGTCTATTTCTTCAGCTTTCCCCCTTTCATAGAGTTGCATGGTTCAGTTTTGGGAGGAATGTTTTGGGGGTTTTTTTGGTTTTTTGGGGTTTTTTTTATTACTGAATGCGAATAATGCATTGAGTTTCTATGCAGGAGCGTGAAAGTAAATGTACTGTACTCAAAGATTCTTTTAAATTTCTTTGTTTCTAGTTAAGTGCTATATGCATTTTTCTGCCACATCTAATTGGAAAAAAGTATAGCTGGGGAAGTATAGTCAAAAGATTTCTTCACATCCTGCTTGGTTGTCCGTCACTCATCGCTGTCATATTTTCTATTCAAGAATGGAAAAATAATTTAATTAGCTTCATTTTGATCAGGGAAACAATGTAAGAAAGTCTCTTGACTCATTCTGTCACTGACAAATGATGACTACAGCCAGCTTGTTGCAGCCTTGTGCAAAAGCAATACCTAAAGCAGACCTCTACAGCGTGGCATGTCATTTAAGGGGAATTCCATAGGTTTTTCAAAATATCTACATAATTAAACTAAGCAGTTTGATGTGAAATGCTCTATTCTGGAAAGTTACCAAGTCAGAATTGTTTACAGTTGTGGTGGTGGTGGTGGGAACCAGACGTCAGAAAGATTAATGCCTTTAAAGCCCATGTGTCAAACACAAGATCAGGGCCATGAGACAAATCCATCGGCCTGCAAAAGTATTTTAATTTTCTATTAATTTTAGTCCGTTTCACAATGAGCTGCACTACATTCCCCAGCATGCACTGCAACGTAAAGTACACTCTGACTCTCCTACCCAAACAACAGTCTATGGGACAGCGGTAACACCTGAATTCTACATAATTCTACGCAATTCTACACCTGTCATATCACCAAATGCACTAACTGCATTTCAGCTGTGGTGCAACCAATATAAACACTTAACGTCAGCTCAGCAGCTCAGAAATTGAGCCCATGTATTAATGAACTTGCAGCAAAGAAAAAATGCCAGTTGTCTAGTTCAAGCAGGTAGGTGGGTTTAAAATACAGAGCTCCTGGGGACATTTAAATTTTGAATATTTCAAGTATTCATGTAATATTTCAAGGTCTTCTACAAGTGCTTATATTTAGATAGCTGAAGTCTTTGCGTATTTTGAATAAACAATGGCCAGTTCAGGGACAGCTCAACATTAATTAAAAATGAAATAAAGCATTTTTTTTCTCTGGCCCAAGGATTTGTTGAGATTTTTTATGTGGCCCCTTTAGTGGATGAGTTTGACACCCCTGTTCTAAAAGGTATTTCTGTGAAAGCTATTACACGAAATTGTTGTCAGTAAGGTGCCTGATGCCTAAGACTGTTTTACAGTAGTTTTGAGACACAAGGTTTTGGCTTAAGAAGTCATTTTTAACCTTGCCTAGATCACTGTAGCAGTACCAGTACCCTTCCTGAAGCGTTCACTTCCATTTTTTTAACAAGCGTTTTATGTATCAAATTGTCTTGCAATACAGTGATGCAATATAGCATTAGAAATCTCAGGATTCAATTAAAACCATTTAATGATCAGTTATTCACAGCAGTAAGAATCGTCTCATTTGAAACATAAGCACAGAATGAGCGAACACTAGCGAATCTGTGTCTCCTTAACTTCAAGCCTGGCCTCTGTCCACCAAGACATCGTAATCCAAAACATGGTCTTAACACAGCAAGAGTCAGAGTTCAGTTTAGAGATCTATGAAAGAGGTGGACATAAACTCCTCCATTCTAGCCTCTGTTGCTCTGTGTCAGTACTTCAAACAATTATTCTGATGGATGGGAAAACTACAGAAGTACAGAGAGGCCATGAGGTAGTTCCTTTTTATAATTAACTCATTATTTCAAGACAACTTTATAACAAGTTAATTATCTTATCTCAAGATAACATCTTGAAATAATGAGTTAATTATGTTGTGATCTCAAGATAAGTTATTGTCTTGATAATGATTTATCTTGTGATCCCAATATAAGTTATCTTGAAATAACAAGTTAATTACCTTGTGATCGCAAGATGACAAAGTTGTTATCTTGAGATCACAAGATAATTATTTCATTATCTCAAGATAACAATCCAGAAAATTATGTATGTTGGAACAGTGCTCCTTTTAGTTTGGGTGTGCCGTTTCAGGCAAGAATGGGGCAACAGTTAAAAGGTTAAAAGAACTTTTTTTTTTTTTAATAGACCACTACTTTATTAGACATTACATATAACACATAAAACATATACACTATTACATATAAAAAAAACAAGTGAAAGTTTACTCATCATTTTGAATAAAATGGCTATATTTGCATTGTAGACTTTGGTTCCCATCACCACCATCACCAAGTCTGAGTCTGTAAGTATCTGTACAGCACACAATTTCAAATCAAAACACTCTGAAAACATTTCAACTGTTGGAATTCCTTTTTAAATGTTTTATATGTATTTGCTATCCTTAGCAACCTAATTATGGGATTCACTCCATCATTTTCCCTATATGAATGCAGTAGACTAGCACTGCTGACAGGTTCCGGAATCTCATTCCCAATGTGATTCAGCAGCACCCTGTTCATTACACAATCTAATGATAGCACTGGAGATACAGTATATCAGTCTATCTCTTTGTACTCATGATGAAAGCTGACATTGGCAGTGATGCACAAAAGAATGCCTCAATTACTTCCTTGGGTTCTCTTTTATCGTTCAACATGGTAATCTCATTTACAAAATCATGGGAACTCAGAAAATCCCATTATGTCTTACATACAGAAGATGGTGTGGAAAAGTTGGAGCAGCAGAAAAGAACCGTGTCATGGGATTTCGGAGATGTTCACAGTTGCTGTTGGAACTGTATGAGGAATTCAAAATGATGCATAAGAAATGCAATAGTTTATGGTCTTCCTTTAGACTGTGAATTCATTTTGAATACCTCTGTCTCAAGGGCACTCTTAGACAGCGAGTCACTCACAGACAACCCTGAAGCGTATAGGAGGCCTTACAAACACATCTTGCTCAAGGGCACAATGACTGTGGAATAAGCTGCAAGGTACAGTATGTCTCAACTTGCTTACACTTCATTTGTGATGGCCACAAGTCCTGGCCGCTGGCCTGGGGAACTGGGTGCTTTCTACCTTTTGGTTTCTGAAGATTTCTCTTTTTTTCTGGGTGTGAGGAGCTGGAAATCTAATTAAGCTTGTCATGCACACTTTATTGCAGTAACTCAGAGCTTATTTGTGCACCATACAAAAATAACTTGACAATGTCATTGTCATTTGTTTACTCACTAGTGCTATAAGTTGTTGCTCCTAAGTATATTATCATAGCTAACTATGAATCATGAGTGTAAACCTGCAATAAAGACTGTTGCGTGTTGGGTTGCCACCAGCCTCCCAGCACTATGGGCCCAGGCCTGCACTGTTGGCAGTTGCAACACAGGCTAAGACCTTTCTCCAGCTCTGAGAAACACCAGCAAAGGATTGTGGGGATTTTAGGTTTTGTGATCATGAGTGGAAAACCATTGATCTAACAGACTCAATGTTATCAGTTAAGCGGTTAAACAGAGGGAGAGCGCTGAATAAACTGTATTTCAAGAATGCGGATCCACAC